TCTCAGATATTTGAGAAACATTAATTATAGGGTTTCTCATTAGCAGAATGTGGCACTAGTTTGCTCAATGGTGTAGATCTTGGGATTTTAATAATATAAAATATATTAATGATTCTACTTAATGTTATTTACTAAAGTTTGCCTTTCCCTAAATGTAAATATTTAGGAGACATATCAAGGATGTTTAGGAGAACAAAGAGCTATGACAGCCTACTGACTACCTTAACTGGCGCTGGAATCCGAATTCTTTTCAGTTCCTGCCAAGAAGAAACTGCAGATTTGCTAAAGGAACTGTCCTTAGTGGAACAAAGAAAGAATGTTGGTATTCATGTTCCAACAGTGATGAATAGTAGTAAAAGTGAGGCACTCCAGTTTTATTTAAGTATTCCCAATATAAGTTATATAACTGCATTAAATATGTGTCACCAGTTTTCATCTGTGAAAAAGATGGCTAACAGGTATGTCTGTTGTAATATTTTTAAATGATTACTTTTAAAAGATTCTTAAAAGCATTTCATAGAATTTAAATGTTAAAAAAAAATTAAGAATAGTGCCTGTTGGATTATTTTATTCAGTAAACATTTTTTGCCTGTCAACATATATTAATTACTGTATGAAGCTGAGGGACATTAATTGAAAAAAAAGAAAAGAGGTGTAGGCATTTCTTTGAGAAGCTTAGGGCTCTGTGGAGAGACAATAAATAGCAGTTACATTTGACCTTGCAATCTAACCTTTCTGGGCTGTTCACTTCTATATGTAACTAGAAAAATGTTTGAGCATTTACTAGTTTTGATCATTATATTTCTTGAAGAGGGAGATTTTATAATGTAATTCATTTGAATTAAAGCGAAGATACATCAAATGTTGTCTTAGCTCATGCTGCTATGATAAAATACCATAAACTGGGTAATTTATAAACAATAGAAATTTATTTATTCCTGGTTCTGGACACTGGAAGTCTGAAATCAGGGTGCCAGCATGGCTGGGTTCTAGAGAGAGCCTTCTACAGAGTCACAGACTACCAACTTCTCACTGTATCCTATCATGGCAGAAACAGAGCTAGCTATCTTTTTACTTCTTCTTCTAAGAGCCCTAGGACATCCTCCTGCATCAACGAATTCTCTTCTCAAAGTTGCCACTTCCACATACCATCATATTGGGATTAAGGCTTCAACATAAAAATTTTGGGGAACACAAACACATTCAGTTCATTGAAGATTCTGAAATTGTTATTGCTGATAATTTTAAGGAAAGGAAACATGTAACTGTTTTATCTAAACTATTGTTAAAGACATATCAGCTCAATGGATAATGTTTGAGATGATTTTCCTAAGGGCTACTGTGTTTAGTATTACCTAATACTAAATTTTGTAAAAGCCAAAAGTCCTAGTGTAATGATTTTGTCTCATTTATTTTTCAGCTCACCTCAAGAAATAGCCATCTGTGCACAAGTAACTCATCAGAAGGCTGAGGAGATCTACAGATATATTCACTATGTATTTGACATACAAATGTTACCAAATGATCTTAACCAAGGCAGACTGAAATCTGATGCATGATCAAGCTGCTAAAGATGGGGTTATCAAATAACTCACAATATTAAATGTACTTCAGTAATCATTGCTGTTTGTGATTATAAGTTTAAAATCTGTAAATAAGAGTATTTCCTTATCATTTAAATATTTTATATTGTATACATTTTTATTTATATAGATTATATAATTTTTAAAAATGTGATGTTCAGTGATCATTTTGACTAATTACAAAACTCATTTTTTTAATTAAATAAAACAAGGTTTATTAAAAGTATTACTACTAAGGATAGTTTAAGAAAGTAAAAGCTAAGTTAAGAGATGCACTTTGGAATGTTCCTAAGATTTAAGTATGTACTAATGTGATAAATAGTAAAGTTGATTATGCCTCTGACTATAGCCAACTTGTTGATTGTCCCTATGTGTAGATGGTATACTTTAAATGTACTGATTCTAAATATATGTACTTGGTAAGCTGTGGGTGATAGGTGGATTGTGAGATAAATGACCCAGTAACTAGGAAAGTAGAAAACTTAACTGAATGTTTATCTGACCAGAGGTATATCCCAGTAAGGTACTGTCAAATCTGTTACTACGAACTCTGATATGGTTTGTCTACGTCCCCACCCAAAAATCTCATCTTGCATTGTAGTGGGAATGATAATCCCCATGTGTTGGGGAGGGACCTCGTGGGAAGGGATTAGATCATAGGGGTGGTTTCCCGAAGCTGTTCTAGTGATGGTGAGTTCTCAGAGGATCTGATGGTTTTATAAAGAGCTTTTCCTGTTGTCTCTGCAGTTCTCTCTCCTACCGCCATGTGAAAAAGGACGTTTGCTTTCCCTTCCACTATGATTATAAGAAGTTTCCTGAGGCCTCCCAAGCCATGTGGGACTGTGAGTCAAACATCTTTTCCTTATAAATTGCCCAGCCTTGGGTATTTCTTCATAGCTGTATGAGAATAGACTAATACTCCCAGCTACATTACTCTTTTTGTTGCTGAAATATACTCAAAAGAACTGGTATATTTCTTTTTAATATAAATTACCAAGTGCAGGCCCATTATATTGACCCCCCTTACATTTACCATTTTGATCCATTCTATTGTTTGTGATGGCACTGAGAAGGCTTCACTTCTATCTGCAATATATATGCCATCTTCTAGTCAGTGTAGCACTAAAGTCGCCTTTAATTATGTAAGTCTTATTCTTGGCCTCATTTTTACCCCTATTACATTGTTGAGTAGTTGAACCAGCCTCACCCCAGAGAGCTTTCCTTACCTTAATTCTGGCAAGGACTTCAGAACACATGTAATTCAAATCGCTTATTTCCTTCCTTACCAAATGATAAAGTGAGGCCAGAAACAAGTGACTTATTCAGGTTTTGACTGGCAAATCTAGAAGAACCCAGAAACTAGGTATCATTCTCTTTCACTCTATGGTGTTGAAAAAGGAGACAAGTTACTCCCAATTGTTTAGCTCCTTTGAGATAGTATCAACTCTCATATCTGAAAGCAGCTGACTTCCTATGTCTGCTATTGAATTATTCTATCAAAACATGAGAGAGGAAGCACTACAAGTTATTGCCTAGTGTGCAGTTATCAATTCATTATAACTGGACTTTTTGAGTATTTCTCTTCTAGTAGTAAGCACAATGCTAAGCTTTGACAGGAGCAGGAAAGGAGCCTTTTTTTCTGGTTCCACTGTGCTACATCTTCATGTATCAAGCTCTTGCTACACTGTCAGCAGGGCCTGTGGGTAGGGACATCTGGTGGTGCTCCGCCCCAGCTGCAAACCAGATTCATGCAGTCCCTCAACAATCTCACACAGAGGCTGGCTGGCTGACCTTGCAGCACCTCCCACACAGGTAGCACCACATGCTGACTCATCTGTGTGTCTCCATCAGACAAAAGAACTACATAAATTGTTACAGATATAACCTTGAGGATTTTATTTATGTATGCTTGCTGTGTGGAGAGCTCTATCCATATTTAGGCTTATTAACAGCCTCCTCCTATACTCTCATTGGTAGTCATTATGGTTAACTATTATTAACCATTATCAGTCCAAGTTATTATTAAGTCTTTATTTTTCTCTTCCACTTCTAAGTCTCCTTTGGGGGTTACTTACCTTAAACCTAATTAGTTCATCTTACAGCCTGATGGAAAGAAATGGGACAAACCAGGTACCTAGCAGGTGACATACTTTAGAATAGGGAAGGTGCTGAAGGAGTTCTGATAGGACACAGGAAACATGAGCAGTAGGGGGTCAGACTCTTGGTTTCAGTCAAGCTTATGACATTTCAAGTACCTTTTTACTGTTAAGGGACTTAAACACCTTCTTTACCCCTAAAATGCTATCCATTAACTTGAGGCAGTATAGCAGTAGATCGAATATTGGCAACTCAAGTTCTACAGTATTTTTTTGGGCCACTACAAAATAACCCTTTGTTTTGATCTATCCTGTATTGACCAAGGGTCTTTATGTCAGAAATAATTATGGTTAGGCGTTTAAAGAATTATCTTAGTCCAATTGCACTGTTCTTTTTACATCCTGTGTTTCTATACGTCATATGTAACTGCTCATTATTACATCTAAATTCTTTTTTTTTTTTTTTTTAAGAGAAGGAGTCTTTCTCTGTTGCCCAGGCTACAGTGCAGTGGCTAGATGCAGGCATGCTCATAGCACACTTCAGTCTTGAACACCTACACTCAAGCAATCCTCCTTCCTCAGCCTCCAAGGTAGTTGGGACTACACTATATGACACCATGCCTGCTCTGACTAAAATACTTAAGAAACAAGAAAATGTTATTACCTGTGTATTTGTTCTTGAGGAAACTTAAACAGGACCAGTAACAAAATGTGATCTGTTTTTATATCTATCATCCAGTAATTAATAACAAAAAACAAGGAACAAATACTATAAAAGCAAACTAACTTTATTTGAACAGTCTAACTAGAGAACAAGTTGTAGCTGAATGTGTAGCCAGAGGGAAAATATCCTGTCAAGTTTCATAACAAACGAAAATTTATTTCTAAAAGAAATTTCACATATTAATTTGACTCCTAATGGTGAATCTATTAACTGAAGGTCTAATCTAGTCAAAACAGTTAAGCTGTATCTGCATATGTAAATAAAGAAGAGATTTTGTTTTCTAATTTCACCTAGTAAAATAATGGGAAAGTAATAAACTAAATTTACATAGGTTTCATAGACATACCAATCACAAGTTAAAAAAAAAATCAGGAGACAAGCATGTCAGTTTCAACAATGTGTAATTTAAACATCAGGCTTGAACAACTGGTAACAAATGCTAACTTAAAAGTTTTCGTGAATTCAGTAGCTGCCAGTACAACCTCTGTCATCCTTTCGCCTTCCTTTACTTAAATGGTAGCAAAATTTTCTTGAAATTAAAAAAAAAAAAAAAAGGGAAATGATTTTCTTAAAGTAAACAGACTGAGATTATCATTTAAAAAGTATCTATATATATTTTAATGTGCAAAAACAAATTTACAGATATCTACACAAGCAAAAGCAATTTTTCTTTAAATTTTTAGTAAGCTGCAGCAATGAGGATATTTTAGTTTGAATACAAACACATGAGACCTTCAAAAAAGTCCACATTTTCATAAACTACAAAGAAAATAGTACACTGTCTGCTTCATGGTAAAACTCCCAGGAATCATATTTTCTCATTTTACTCTGCAGAATCAGAGTTTGAAAAATAATGATCTTTCTCTTCTTCATCATCTAAAGATTCCATAGCATTAGTGAAAAGTTTTCCAACACTGGAGTTTTCTCCTAAATCTGTAAAGAGAAGTATAATAAAAAGATTAATACATTTCTAAAAGTACTTTCGATAAAACTGAAAACTATAAGGAACGAAATGCCAAGTCTGTCCACTTGAGAGCAATTAATTTTAATATCATTTAAATAAAGAACTTACCTTATAATAGAACTGAGCCAAAAAGAAAGATATATTACCTGGGTTAAATGGGGTTTTCCTTCTTGATGCTGGAGCTGAGAAATCAGTTTCAACCTATAAAAGAGTTAATATTAATAGCTAAATGGTACCTCCTGGTGAAGCCTACCTCAAACCTAGACAATTAGCATGCTTATCCCCAGAGTACTTTGAACATATGCCTATAACAATACTTTATCACATTAAAATTATCTGTGAAATGCCTAATTCTCTTGGGTTTATCCAGGGCAAGTACTATGACTTACTCAATGCTGTTACCCACTGCTGGCAAACACAGCTCTAAGAAATTATTATAAACTAATACTGTTGCGGTTAAAGGATATAGTCTATAGGCCTCCAAAAGTTACGAGATGTACTGAGTAATTAAGTAACGAATATATTTACTTACTAAACTTAAAATATAAACACAATTTATTATTATAATTATAGTAATTATAATTACCATACGATACTGTCCTATTACAGTAATTACTATATACAATAGGGAAGAGTAAATACTGTACTATTTTTACCTACAGTCCGTTATTATAATAGTACAATGTTTTGTACTAGCAAAATTTTAATTCTTTGTACTTGAAATTCTTGGCTAAAATGGTAATAATATATATGGCAAGTTTGAAGTGCATGCTCACACACATTACAATGCTTATCAAATTATTGGCCATGGCTGGCAATCTTTAAAAGATAAAAAACAGAATAAAAAATATGATAGCCCTTATACTAAGAGTAAGTACTGTTTTTTTGTTTTTGTTTTTGTTTTGAGTCGGAGTCTCTCTCTGTCGCCAGGCTGGAGTGCAGTGGCGCGATCTCGGCTCACTGCAACCTCTGCCTCCCGGGTTCAAGCAATTCTCCTGCCTCAGCCTCCCGAGTAGCTGGGACTACAGGCACACTCCACCACTCCCAGGTAAATTTTTTGTATTTTTAGTAGAGATGGCATTTCACCATGTAGGTCAACACGGTCTTGATCTCTTGACCTTGTGATCCGCCTGCTTTGGCCTCCCAAAATGCTGGAATTACAGGTGTGAGCCACCGCGTCTGGCCAGTATCGTTTTAAGAAATTTTTGGATACAAATTCATGCTTACAGACTGTGATATAAATATATTTTTGTTTCTGAGATGTGGCAAAGCACATATATCACTTAGCCCTAAAACTCATTCAGTAGCATAAACCAGTATAATCGTGACCCCCATTGTCATACCACACATGAATAAAATAATAGAAAGCTCAAGTAACTTGTTCAGTGTCATAAAGCAAGGGACTCAAGGGGGTTCCCATAAGTTACCATTCTCTAAGATGAAATAGGTTTTCCAGAATACTAGTACTTATATCTGGTAATCTGTTATTGAAATTAAAATCAGAAAACTAAAAATTTAAAAAGTAATTCAAAGGGATAAAGGATTATCCTAAACTCTTTTCTAAAGGACACAGATCATTCTATTAAGGCATCTTTCAATTAAAAATTTTTCTGTTGGATTTTAAATGTTAGAATCTGAAAAAAAAAAAAAAAAAAAAAAAGTAGCTAAATCTGAAAAATATTTGAAACCATTTTAAAGCTGATAGGATTTGATGAAATTTCTTCCTTTATATTTTTCCCACCCTTCCTCATTTCCCAAATCAAAGTTTTTACCCATTTTTCCCTTGCTCCAATGTTTCAGTCTCTGTGATGCCATCTGTATGTAATCCTACAGTACTTACGTGTTTACCTCATTCATGTCTTCATTATTATAACTTGCTCGGTTATAAGCACCTCAGGGACAGGGACTGTTACATAACTTGTAAAATTTGTTTCAGAGATATGTGTTGGGTAAAGAAAAATACTTACTAATTTTTTCTTGATGTTGCCCCAGACAAAACCACCATTACCTTTATGATATTTCTGCATACGAAAAACATATTTATCACAATCATTCCTGTTTGGATACAAAATAATTTTAAGTCAACATTAGCTGTCATACTTTTATCCACAGGTTGAACAACAATTGCCTAAATTAATTTCAATGTATTTCTTTTTTTAAAACCGGGTCTCATTCCGTCCCCCAGGGTGGAATGCACTGACAATGGCTCACTGCAGCCTCAAACTCCCGGGCTCAGGTGATCCACCCAACACAGCCTCCTATGTAGCTTGGACTACAGGCACAATGTTACCACGCCTGGCTACCTTTTGTATTTTTTTTTGTTTTTAGAGACAGGGTTTTGCCACATTGCCCAGGCTGGTCTCAAACTCCTGAGCTCATCAAGCAATCTGCGCTTCTGGGTTGCCCAAGAGGCATGAGTCACCTCACCTGACCTCAAAGGTATTTCCATCTTTAAAAATTACATTCTGTATTTTAAAGACAGTAAAATGTGCCTACGGCAATGGATAAAACTCTTAAAGGAAACAGTGAACAAGACTATTTTAGGAAATTATGCTTTGCTTTCTTTTCACTATACCATCTACAATCTTTCCAGTATCTTGCTGCTTCTCTTTTCCAAAACTCTGAGACTTCTTGTCCTTGGACACCCTTTTGCTATACCATTATCTATCCTGTTCACTTCCTTCCCTATCCTAATTGAATCTCATTTTATTCACTTTAGAGATATGCCTGATTATTGAAAACCCTCAATTTTTCTAACTGTGTTGGGTTTCCAATCCAGCTCATCAAGCCTTTTATTTCTGCACAATTACATCTTTCTTGCATTCCCCATACCAACCACCAAGTTTTTTTTTTTTCCCCATTTCTTTTACCTTATCTCTTCCCTTATGTGTAAATAGGCTTGACTCATGACTTAAGAGATTAAAAGCCAAGTAGAATGGTTGGTTAAATTCCCCAACCCCACAATTTCTAATCCCACTTATGACAGTAAATACCAGCTGAACACCCATTTCCATCCTCTCCCTTGGCTTCAAGATCTTACATACCTGAGTATCCTCTGTGCTTTATGACTATTTGAGAACAACCTTAAAGGCATGACATGTAGAAATTTGTAAATGTGACTGTATTAAGATATTTATCTGAATCAAACATTGCTGTTTAGCAGTGAACAAGCATGGTCAATTGTTAGCAAGTTGTTTAGCAAATGAACAGGCCGATCCCAGCACTTTGGGAGGTGGAGGCTGGTGGGTCACCTGAGGTCAGAAGTTCAAGACCAACATGGGCAACATGGTGAAACCTCATCTCTACTAAAAATACAAAAATTAGCCAGGCATGTTTGCATGCGCCTATACTCCCAGCTACTTGGGAGGCTGAGGCACGAGAATTGCTTGAACCTGGTAGATAAAGGTTGCAGTGAGCCGAGACTGTGCCCCTGCACTCCAGCCTGGACTACTCCATCTCAAAAATGAACAACAACAACAACAAAAACTACCAATGAATAGGCCTAGCCAGTTCTTCAGGGTCAGGAACTGATAAAGTCTGTTATCAAAGAGATCTCTTTGAAGATGAGTTTTTCACTTCTGAAGTGATACAACTGTTTCATTACTGAAAACTGTAATGAAAAGTAAGTCAATTACTACCACCAGTGAAGAAGCCTAAGAAAATCACTTTTTTTTTTTTTTTTTTTTTTTTTTTGAGACGGAGTTTTCGCTCTTGTTACCCAGGCTGGAGTGCAATGGCGCGATCTCGGCTCACCGCAACCTCCACCTCCTGGGCTCAGGCAATTCTCCTGCCTCAGCCTCCTGAGTAGCTGGGATTACAGGCACGCGCCACTAGGTTTTTTGTATTTTTAGTAGAGACGGGGTTTCACATGTTGACCAGGATGGTCTCGATCTCTCGAGCTCGTGATCCACCTGCCTCGGCCTCCCAAAGTGCTGGGATTACAGGCTTGAGCCACCGCGCCCGGCCTAGAAAATCACTTTTTAAGAAAAAAGTTTTGGATAATATAGATTCATGACATAAGTTGAGTCTGATTCCTATTAAAAAAGTGATAAAAACTGACAGAAAACCCCCCCAAAAACAAAAACCAAAAACTCCCAACCTATACTGGTGTCATTCTACAACCTAGAAATAATAGCTGGTAATATGTAAGTTAAAAAATTTCCTTCCTTATGAATTTGTTATATAAAATTGGGATCATACTGAAGGTCGTTTTCCTAGCTTTTAGAAACTACTATCTTCTGGACATTTTTCTGTCATTAAAAATTCTTCTCCAGCCTGGATAACAAGAGCAAAACTCTGACTCAAAAAAAAAAAATTTCTTGGAGACACAGTTTTTTAGTTGTTTCATATTCCATTATATGGACAAATCTTCATTTATTATTTCTTTATTTTTGGATGTTTAGGTCCTTCTCAAACTTTCAGTATTACATTTGTGATGAACATCTTTGTTCATACAAATACATGCTTGTCTAAATCCCATATTTCCTTAGTGTTTAATAAAATTCAACAGCCAAAAGAATGAATATTTTAAAACTTTTGATGATTTGGCCAAAGTGCTTATCAAAAAGTTTGTCCAAAATTGTACTCTCAATATGCTTTCACCGGCACTAAATACTAAAAAAAAATAAAAAATAATTTGTAGATGTCCAGGAAAATTATATTTTTTTCCAACAAATGCAAATTAAAATTTGCTTGCTTCCTGAGATTACCGAATAGTTTTTTTCTCCGTCATTATCATCTTGCTTCTGCCTCTCATTTAGTGGAAACTGCTCTAAGGTCAGCAATGGCCTCTTACTTGTCAAATGGAATAGCCTATTTTCCGGCCTCATTCTTACTACTTTCCCTCTTTTTTTCTTCGACATTTTACTGTTGGCCACTCCTACTTTTTTCTTGATTTTATTTTTATCTTTCAAATTGTTCCTATAATCACATGGTTCAAAATTCAAAAGCCCCCCCCCTCCTTCCTCTAGTTATTTTAGTTCTTCTCCTTAGAGATCACCAACGTTTTCGTTTCTTATGTATCCTTTGAGATGAAAGCAATTACACACACACAAATATATATATATACACATATGCATACACATAGCTTCTATTTACACAAACAGTAGTGTGTTATTCACTGCATCTACCTTTGTTTCATTTAATATACCTTAGGCATTTTATCATAATAGCAATTAAAAATATCTTCATTAATTTCTTTTTTTATGAGACAGGATCTTGCTGTGTTGCCCAAGCTGGGGCATAATTGCCGCAATCACAGTTCACTGCAGCCTAGACCTCTGGGACTCAGGCAATCCTTCTACATCACCCTCCCTAGTAGCTGGGATCACAGGCTTGCACCACTGCATTCTGCTGTTTCTTTTTGTAGAAATGGGGTCTTCCTATATTACCCGTTAGTCTTGAACTCCTGGGCTCAAATTATCCTCCTACCTTAGCCTCCCAAAGTGCTGGGATTACAGGCTTCAGCCACTGTGTCTGGCTCTTCATTAATTTCTATGACTACATAAAGGACCAGAATTCATATTTAATTAGTCCTTATTTGATGGATTTTTTGAGGTTTTGCTATTATAAACAATGCTACAATGAATAAGCTATACATTCATAATTTTACAAGTAAAATTCCTAAGTCAAAGGGCATGTGTTATTCATAATTTGGATAGATACTTACAGATTGTTGCTGCAAAGATCACACTAATTTACCTTCTCACTAGCAATGCATGAAAATTAACAATGCATTTCTTGTGAACTTGTAGGAATGCTGTATATATTTGGGAAATCAGCCTTTTGCCTGTGACAAGTTGCATATATTCTTTTCTCAGGTTGTCTTTTGTTTGTAGTGGTTGGTACCAGGTTAGGACATTTGTTAGAACATTTTCTTTTCATTAATGGCTAATAGGTTTTATATCATAGTTAGAAGGAACATGATTAATCTGGTAATATAATTCTCCAAAGTTTCTTTTGGTTGTGTGTGTGTGTGTTTGTCTGTGTGTATTTATTTTAGTTTTTACAGGTAAAACCTCGATCCATTTCAAATTTATCCAGCTGTAAATGTGGGTTATATTACAATGCTATTTACTGAAAAGCACTCTGATTTGATGAAATTGTCCATCCTTAACTTCTAGAAATTATACATTCTTGCTTTTTTTTTTTTTTTAAAAATAATAATGATTCTTCCCATTACTGGCATCTATGGTCCTCATGAAATGTTTAAATGTTTCTCACTATTCTGATGTAGAGAATTAACATATCATATGCATGAATATTTACCTATTTATGGAAGCGAGCATTCCAGGACTGACGTGCTGACCCTGAGGAGTTTTTGCCAATGGAAAGACATCTGATGATGGAGTTGCTGGATTTTTGTCCATATTTGGTAGAATATCATCATCATCTTCACTGTCCTGGAAACTTGGCAACTAGAAAACAAGTATTTATTATCAGCAGGCGCCCATAAAAATATATTTTCTCATTATCACAAAATAGTTTTTGGTAGGCTGACAAGTTGGTTTTCCTTCTTACAACATTTAAAAACAGTAGTAGACAATTAAAAACACTGGTAGTAGGTGGAGGAGTAGAGGCTAGAGGAACTCCATTTTAGATGCTAATCTACCATGCTGACTTCTGATTAACCCCAGTTCTGGAAATGCCTCTAAGATTTCTACTTCTATGTACTTATTTTCTAAGGAAATCTTGTCCTTAGATCAAAACAACCTTCATGTTATCGTATGCAAACACATACTTAACATAAATCCTGCCCTTAGGCAAACTCCCTATGGTATATAAACCCTGGGTCTAGGGGAATAACAGTGTACACATCCACCGTGAGGCCACCCAAGAGATGGCTTCTGCCCAAAAGTCTCTATTAAATGTTTCTGAGAAACTGGATTTGTCACCCTCTTTATTCAGCCTGTAACCTTGTAGCATGCTTCAAACCATTTTCTAAAACTTTTTTCTTCCTTTCTCCCTAATTTTAAGACATAACTTTGAGATAAATTGCCTATGTGTTTCCATTCATCTTGAAATACAGCCTCAAAATGTGCTGTGAACCTTCATTCCCTTTCTTTGCCCAGTCTATGCTCCCATGCCCTATGCACATGTATTTACCTAGATGCTTTTTAAGCATACACCATGCTCATTTATCTGGTTATATATTTCTTTAGAAGCTTCAGGGGCCGGATCTGGGCACAAACCGGACACCTCGAGAATTCTCTCCCCAGTCAAGGCCAAAACTCACTCCCATTAGAAATTCACTGCAAGATTTACAACAATTAATTTGTAACCTGGTTGGGCCCAGGATGGTGCTGGCCCCTTCACCAAATGGAATATTTCCACATAAGCTGTTGGAGAAGATTGAGCCACCTGACACCTCCTGCATTCCAAATGCTCTTCCTTTATAAACCCCTGTGTTGAATTCTACAAATTGAAGACTGGAACTTTTGGAATTCCACCCATACTTCTCTTTGCTGGCACAGATAATAAAACTCTATCATATCTTGCTCTTGTTATATTGGCTTCTTTTGACAGGTGGTGAGTAGTTGGACCCCTATGCTGGTTATAATTTTTGGTGGCTCATACAGGGAGCCCTGTGTATTCATTCACAGGAGGCTGCAGACCCACCTATCTGATCTTCTGTTGGATGGAGCCACGGCCTGCGAGTGCCAGCTGCTCATGGCTAGCTGACCCTTTGGCAAGAACATTAGGGGAGCTTGCAGCAGCTGCCACAGTGCCTTTGTCTCAGGCAACTTTCCCTCCCTTTCTCTTTCTGCCACAGCATCTGCTGCTTCCAAAGCTTTGCTGACACAAAGAGTGTGATATTTTGAAGAAGACAATAAACACTGGAACTGGATGAGCTGTTGATGTGCACCGAACCTCCCTCTGCCTCTTTTAGGGTGTTGCTGGGGCTCTGCTCTGTTTAGACTCAGCTGTTAGTGTCACCATTTGGCCATGCTTATGCATTAATATTTGTGGCACCCTCAGGGCTTTGCTGGCATTGGACTCAGTCCCATGTGGAGGAGCATTTGAAACCAAGGCAAGGAGTTTGGAACTCTACCCAGCCGCCCTTAACTGGGGATCTGTTTGGAGGTTTGGTGTACCATTTGTTTGTCCATGTGTATGGCCCCTAATCTCTCTCTCCATCTTTTCTATTTCTCCCAGCTCCACCCTCCTGACTACTCTGCAAACAAGCCACAAACAGCCTAAACTCCCCTGAGCCAAAAACACCCTTAGCTCTCTCCAGCTAGAAACATCTAACCTTGACTGGTGACTTGTGGAGGTGGGAATGTTACAGCAGGTAAGCTAGTCAGGCATAAGCAGGAAATCAGGGTCTTGCCACCCCTCACCAGGAATGTTAGGCAACCATCCCATGGTCAAGCTCTTGTTAGCTGTGTCTCTAAAATAATAATAAATTGCAGCCAGCAGCAGGGAAAGGCAATCTCCCAATAAATAAAACACCTAAAACTGGTGATGGGCAGCTTCCTGATAAGATCTCAGGAGCTTGGCAAGTGGGCTCAAGTAAGTGCAGTAAGAGGCAAAACGGAGGAGCTGAACTGCTACATAACTTTCTAGGGACATTCTACCGGTAAGGGAAGAAAACATCAAGTAAACCTGCGTACAAATCCAATAAGCACACTCTCAAGTGCTAGCAGGCCACTGGGGACGCGGACAGCCCACCTCAAGGTTAGATTTGGGAGAAGAAACACAAGAACTCCAGAAGCATGCCAACGTGTAAACCTCCAACTCACAAGGTTAAACCACACACTTGTCCTTCAGGTCACCTGCTTGGCCCTCTTCTGAGAGTACTTTCCTTCCTTTTGTTTCTGCTCTAGAGTTTTAAAATAAACTTCCACCCCTGCACTAAAACTTGCCTTGGTTTCTCCTCCTGCCTTATGTTTCCTTGGTCAAATTCTCTTTTTAAAAATTTTTTGTAATTATTATTAAAAAAAAACACTAAGCATTGAAATGGGATTATATTCATTTTTGAAAAGATGTTTATGCTGGGCACAGTGGCTCACACCTATAATCCCAGCACTTTAGGAGGCTGGAACAGGGAAATCACTTGAGGTCAGGAGTTCAAGACCAGCCTGGCCAACATGGTGAAACCCCATCTCTACTAAAGAGACAAAAATTAGTGGGGCACAGTGACATGCACCTGTAATTCCACCTACTTGGGAGGCTAAGGCAGGAAAATTGCTTGAACCTAGGAGGTGGAGGTTGCAGTGAGCTGAGACCATGCCAATGCATTCCAGCCTGGGCAAAAAGAGCAAACTCCATCTCAACAGTAATAAAAAAAGTAGCCTGGCGTGGTGGCACATGCCTGTAATCCCAGGTACTCACAAGGCTGAGACAGGAAAGTCACTTGGACTGGGGAGGCGGAGGTTGCAGTGAGCCAAGATCATGCCATTGCTCTCCAGCCTGGGCAACAGAGCAAGAATCCGTCTCAAAAATAAAAAATAAATAAAAATGTCTTAATTACAACACCATCTAAGGTTGGATGGACCAAAGGGAGTCCCTGCTGGTCCCTCAACATTAAAAAAAGTTCCAAATCAGTATACTGTATTTCCCAAATGTGGAGAAAATTAAAAAGCCAGAAAGTAAAGATTACAATGAGAAACCCCACCTCTAATTGCCTGGGTCAATGGTTAGACTAATTAAGACTGGGAGAAGGGTTCAAGTCGCTTGGCTCAACGCCTGGCTAGGAACCTAAAACCTTTTTCACAAGAAAGGGCAAAATGGCCTAGGGGTGGAAAAGCAAAGTTCCTGGAACTAGAACGTAAAATGTAAGGGTTGACAGGATTCTGAAAGTTAGATTCTGTTTATACAAGTTTTATGTAAAGTAGTTGTGTCCCCTTTACCTAAACGTTTTATGGAAACAAACATTGTATCTCACTGGTGAATGTTTCCCCTACCTCATACTGTAAAAGAGAAAATATGTAAGTCTGCTCTTTGAGCAATATTAATTGGACATGCTAAATGGGAACCAGTTAAGACTGCCCGAGCCCACAGAGTGTACGGAAGAAGCTGCAGTACTGGTAGGGATAAATTCATCACTTGATAGGCCATTTCAGTCAAAGCCGGCATATAAAATAACCCATGTCTCCAAGGTGTCCTAGTACAAAGGAAAACATATTCTTACTGAAAATCACTGGGGCTTACAGCAAAAGTCCGTCAGTACCTCCCAGCAGAGACTAGTGGGACTTTAGACTGAAGAATTTCACTTGAGGGACTTTTACTGCCTTGCTATGGGTTATTACCTGAAGCTACCCCTATGACTGAAGGACATAAAATGATCCTGACACTTGAAATATCTATGCTGTGTGAGGTGATGTCAGGGAAACACTGTAATGGGAAGAGCAGTGCCCAGAAACATGCCATAATGCAATGGAAACAATTTCTACAGGGTCATGCTACTAGAAGAGTAGGAGGCAGTATGAGCAGAGAGCCTTTTTTCCACTAAGACTGACTGCAACTGTGTGAGAAGCTGCTGGATTCCACAGTACCCAATCAACAGCTCTCATATGATTAACAACTGCTTGGTTTGTAGATGGCATTTCCAACATGTTGTCCAAACCTTGTTTTGAAGGCTGCAACTCTGATTAAAGAAGAGCCAAGAACACCTTTTTTTCTTCTAAGCTATTTAGAGCTTATAGGAATTGAGTAAAGTATACTTTTATAAGCAAAATTTACCTTTCACTCTGAGTTCTCCAAAATCTGGAAACTAACTGTTACAAATTTTTATTTTGTAGCAATATAGTGATTTTCAATAAGAATATGTTTTCCTTTGTACTAGGACACATTGGAGACATGGGTTATTTCATATGCTGGCTTTGACTGAAATGGCCTGTTTTCAAATGTGACCATCTTGCTTTGAGAAATTGAGTTTAGCTTTATAGAGCTGTTAAAAAGCCCCTTGGAGAGACTGGTCTGGTGTTTTGACTACACAGTTTCCTTTACAAGATTCCTAATCCATGCTAAGTTAAGCATGTCGCTATCTGACAGGCCTAGGAATCTCAAGTTATTTTTATACCTTGAGAAAAGAGGAACTCACCCATTTCAATTATGGTATTTAAGCCCTGAGTCTGTGGGTAACAGTGCAGGGATCCATCATGCTGAAGCCACCTGAGATATAGCTTGTATTTGCAGCTCTCCATTAAATATTTTTCTCTGATAAACTGAATTTGTCAGTCTCTTTCTTCAGCCTCTCAGCTTCCTTAGCCTTTGGGGATAGATCTGCATATACCTACTCACCTTGGAACAAGGACAGCGCCTTAGCCTTTAAAGACTTAATTTATCTTGTGTAAAACAGAGATAATAACACCTACTTCTAAAGGTTATATAGACCAAAGGTCAGCAAATGTTTTCTGTAAAGAAGCAGACAGTAAATACTTTAGGTTTTGTAGTCCAATCTCTGTCCTAACTACTCAACTCTGCACTGTAGCATGGAAGCAGCCATAGACAATATGCAAACAAATGGGCATGCTTGTGTTCCAATAAAATTTTGTTTACAAAAAAAGGTGGTAGGCTGGATTTAGTCCACAGGGCCATAGTTTGCTGCCCCTTCATATCAACAGAAAACAAAACTATGATTCACTTACTATCATACTTAGCACTTAGTAGGGACCCAAGCTGTGTTAAAACTATGTCATAGAAAATGAGATAATCTGTTGCTACTTCTACTTTAGTTCTGTTCTTTATGATGCTACTATTGGATTTAGGCTAAAATCTACATATATAGAACCTGCAATGATGGTGGGATAACATAGAGGGTACAACCCCTAGTGGCCCCTAGTGTTGTGAAGAAAACATTGTCAGGGCCCCTGATGGCTCTTTTAAGACTTCCCTCTGTAACCTGTATAGCAAAAGGCGGGCCCAGCAAATGGTGTTACTAAACTCTGTAAAGCATAGTGTAGCCTTTTAAAATTGAAGATGATTTAATGACAAGAAATTGGTGGATGAAAAAATGACTTTATGTCTAGCTCACTAACACAACTATTTGAATTTTTATACTCCATAGTCCAGTTGTCTATTATCCACACATGTTTGCATTACTTAATATTCTTAACATTTATATTTAAATTCTAGAAAGTCTTAAATGTATATTTAATATCTGTATTGTATTTCACTGTGTTTATGAAAAACACCTTTATTGGAGGTATAGATTGTTTTCCAGTTTTTTGCTGTAAAGATAAAACTGCAATAAATATCTCTGCAAATATTTTGGGCTTTGGATTTCTTAGAATAACTCTCAAGAATAGAATAAATCTTTATAGCTTTTTGTAATATACTGCCATAATGCTTTCTTACTAAAAGGTATTAATCAATTTGTAAACCCACTGATGTATGACTGTATCAGTATCACCATTGCTTCTGTTAGCAGTGGATATTTTAACTTCTTTTTAAAGATTCTATAATTTATACATATAATTTATTTTACTTTCTGGGATTACTAGATAAAATGACTTCCCCAACTGTTTATTCAGCCTTTTGAATTTCTTCTTATTCACACTTTTCCTGTGATCCTGGTACTTTCTGTTATTCCAGTAACATTTGAATGAGTTCTTAGTATTACAGATAATAGCTTGGTTGCATTTGCTGTGAATATTTTATGCCAATCACTGAACTTTTTAGTTATGCTACTCTTCATATACAAAAATTCTTTCATACATTCAAATCTTTCAATATTGTGCTACTATCACTTAATCCCTTCTTTCAATTACTACACAGTGGATAATTTTCATCACCTTTAAAAAAAGTTTGGTAGTATATTAAACTTTAAATACATATGTTTGGTCTATTTCTAGGTTTACTTTACTATTTGATTCTACAAACATTACCTTTGAACCAACGAAAGTGCAGACTCTGGAAACGAGTAAGAACAGCATGTATCAGCAAATCGTTTGCTATAAGACTACGATCACGTCTAGGGAAGCTACTGATCCTTGGCCTATTAGTGATGAACACTAACCATACAAAAAAAATGAAAGATGCAAAAATTAATACAGATAAAGAAAACAATGATTTCATGCCTCTTACCAGTATTCTTTGATGTAAAGATGTTGTACTGAAAAAATCATCATGGTCATCTTTTGGCAACTGTTCCAGAAAATCCCTCATCTGTTGCTTCCTTTTAAGAGTTCCCACTTTGGCAGTTATCTTAATAGTTTGTTTCTGATCAGCATCGCCTCTCTTGCCTTGAGTAGCAAAACATTTTGATAAGGATTTGGTTATTTATAGTAACTGCTCTATAAAGTTAACAGCCTTTGCAAGGTCTAAATTGTGCATTCATGTTAAAAAAGAAAAACATTCAGCCTCGGCTGGGCTCAGTGACTCATGCCTGTAACCCCAGCACTTTGGAAGGCCAAGGCAGGAGGAATGCTTGAGCCCAGGAGTTTGAGACCTGCCTGGGCAATATACGGATACCCTGTCTCTATAAAAAATAGAAAGAAAGGAGAGAAGAAAAAAAAAAGAAAACCTATTATTTTACAAGTCTCCTATAGAACAAATGATCATTTCTACACTGGGATCTGAGATTTGTGCAATATGATTAGCCCACATGATACTATGCCTAATTTGATTTTGCTAAAATATATAAACCTTACTGAATTACAACAGGCATAATGGGTGCTCACTAATGCTTACTATAGAAATGCTCTAGCATAATACACCTTTTACTTGTAATCATGGACAAGAGTATATATAATCCTGGGACTATGACATTTTTTCTGAGCTTTCTCATAAATTACTTGGGGAATCTGACCCAAGTGGCCTTTTTAATTAAATCCTTAGAACAATAATTCAGATACTGAAATATCTGGATCTAACTGCAGAATTCTTAAAACTCAAAGCACAAGGCTACTACTATACTACTACTGATGAAAGTAGCAACCTAGGTTAAGAATTAAAAATTAAACAGATGATTTCTGAAGTTCTTTCTAGCTTTAATATTTTAAGAAAATATACCTATAAACAATATTCATGGATAAATATACATCTGATTTCAGTGATCAGACATCAACACTGAGCACTAGGAAAAATCTACTACGAAGATTACCATTTTGGTCTTTGGAATTGGCTGGCTTTTTCTTAGTGACATGTTTCTGGGATCGTTTTCCTCTGTGATTCTCCATGTATTTCCTCTGGCATTCTTCAGCAGATCGAGAACCGACAGCTGCAGCTACATTTGACCAGAAACCAGGTTTGTGCTTTGGAAGAGATGCAAATGCACTATGGAAGATCAAAACCAATTAAAGCATAAGAAATTCAAAACCAGTGACAGTAACCTCTTAAAAGCATATCACTGAATTAATGAGATTTACTGGGATGAAGGAATTAGTTTTATCAAAACCATTCTGGATAAAATTAGGAAAGATATTCACTCCCCCCAATAACTTACTCTAGTGCTTAAAATATGAAGATGTAATTCTGCATATCTAGTAGATGTCTAAGTATTTTGATGTGCTCTATTAAACCTGCAAAATGACCCATTTTTTTTTTCTAAGTACAACTAATTGAAGATATGGTTTTTTGGGAGATTCTGGCATGGCTAAATTTTCTACCCTGTTATCTTAAATCTTACTGATGGTAAGTATATTGAACAATAAGCTTTTAGTTCTCTTATACAGTCTAGGTTATAAGGTATTAAAACGTTTTATGCTTGCTTTCATTCTGCTATACTTTGTAGAACTCAGTATTTTAGATACATACTCTCTTAAGGAAAATGAAAACTGAAATAGAGAAAACTGTAAGGAAGTCCCTAATTTAACATCTGAGTTACATTCTACAAGTTCCTCTGTAAATGATTTAGAACCTGATAAACATATTACCACCCCCACTCTCCCCAGAAAAATATTTTACATATAGTGGTTAGATGGACAATTTAGCCAGAAAACATCTATGTAACTCATCAATTAGCCTAAAGGTGATATTAACAATGTTATTTCAACTATACCAAGTCTTTATTTTTATCTGTTTCTTTGACAAAATATTTTTATTTTTACTTGGATTCCAATTAGTGGATATTGGTTTCATGTAGCAGTATGCAAGAAAATTTTTAATCAGCTCTCTGGGGTTAAACAGCCCTTCCTTATTTACAGAGTATGACGATTTCCACAGGGTAAATACTCCCACTGTGGTTGATTTCAAGCTACCAACATGTCACTGACTGTGGAATTGATAAAAAATGTGTCACACATTTATTAATTCCACAGTCAATGACATGTTGGTAGCACACAATTATACATATAGTATTTCCACCATACAAGAAAGGTGAAGAGCCTCAAGAGCATACATAATAAAATGTAAAATAATTAGGAAGTAATGAGTTTTGAGCATTATGTTTTAAATAATTTCAAGTTTATATAATTTAATTTTTCATGACAACACTCAATTTGTAAAACCCCAAAATGTAACAATCAGCTTTTATGAACAGCTACCAGTTGACCACAGCGTACTATTCCATGCAGAAAAGAATACTTATGGGCACGAAATACTTGTTAATTAATCTTACATAATTAATCATTCCACAGGTGTTCTAAAGTGAAAATCTAGAAGGACTTGGGAACTTAAGCTTCCCTATTTGTGTGTGTAGCTAATTTCTAAGTCTAGGACTGTATTACAGCTCAATGTGGCCTCCAGCTTCCAGGCTCAGGCAATCCTCCTGGACTCTGCTTCCTTACTGGTTGGCACTACAGGCACATATCCCACACCCATTCTTTCAGTATTTCTAAATATGGCCTCTTCCTTTCTACTTTTGTGTATGCTATTGTAAGGTCCATTTGTCTTGAATCTTTGGCTTAAATGATTATTTATTGATAGAGGTTAAATATGTGTCCCTACCCAAGTCTTACATCTAAATGTAATCCCCAGTATTGGAAGTGGGGCCTAGGGGAAGGTGACTGGATCATGGAGGCAGATTCCTCATGAATTATTTAACACCATCCCTCCTGGTACCGAACCTGTGATGAGTTCTCGTGTAATCTGGTCATTTAAAAGCATGTAGCACCTCGCCCCTTTTTCTCTTGCTTCTGCTTTGGCCATGTGATGTGCCTGTCCTCCCTTCACCTTCTGCCATGACTGTGTTTGCTGAGGCCTCCGCAGGAGCCAAGCAGATACCAGCATCATGCTTTCTGTACAGCCAGTAGAATCATGAGCCAATGAAACCTCTTTTCTTTTTCTTCTTTTTTTTTTTTTTTTGGAGACAGTCTCACTCTATTGCCTAAGCTGGAGTGCAGAGGTACGATCTTGGCTCACTGCAACCCAAGTAGCTAGGATTTCAGGCATGCACCATGATGCCCAGCTAATTTTTCGTATTTTTACTAGAGACAGGGTTTCACCATGCTGCCAAGGCTGGTCTTGAACTCCTGACCTCATGATCCACCTGCCTCAGCCTTCCAAAGTGCTGGGATTACAGGCGTTAGCCACCACGCCTGGCCAACCTCTTTTAAGTTACCCAGTCTCAAGTATTTCTTTGTAGCAATGCAAGAATGGACTAATACATGGCTGGCACTACAAGTGCACACCTCCACCCCCCATATTTCTAAATATGCCCCTTTAATTCCTACTTTTAAGTACACTCTTCTATCTAAAGTGGCTTAAATAATTCTTATTTATCCTCAGATCTTAGTTCAAGTACCAGGCTTAAATTAGATGAGACTGCCCTGATATATATATTATTTTTATAAATTTCCTACAATGATTATGTGCTAAATATCTGTCTACCCTATTCAGTTACAATCATGATGAGGGGTACAAGGCAGTGGACTGTAACTGATAATCACTTGAGGAGCCTACAACAAAAATGCAAACATGCAAATGAGTAAGTAACATAAGCAGATAGACTCTACTCCTGAAGATTTCAATTTAGTAAGTCTGAGATGTCATTTGCATTTCTTCAAAAGGACCGCCTGTGATTATTTTGCTGTGTAGGCAGGATTGAAATTGCTTTTATGTTGTTCATAAGAAAGAGAATCACATATAACTGAGTAGTTAACAAAAACAGGTAATGACAGGGAAAGGCTTCAAGAAGTAGGTGACATGTCAGATACAATTTGAAGAATAGATAAAAATATAACAGGTGGACAATGAGGCAATAACACTGGCAAACAAATGAAGATGAGGAACTATGACATTTGGTTAGGGAATGCCAAACAATTCATATTCATAGTATGATAAATTTGAAAGTAATGGTTGCAAATCAGCTTTGAAAAAAACTAGAAAAGCATACCTAAATTCAGGCAGCCTATACCTATCTTAACTGTATGCACTTCTAACATGAATTTTTAAAATTAACAACCAGTAAAGTTGACTTTTTGGTATGTGGTTCTATGAATCTTCACATATAGACCTGCATAACCGTTATCACAAGTGGTTACCCAGAACAGTTCTGCCACAAGGAAAGAAATCCATCATGCTACCTTTTTGTTGTCACACCTTCCCACAATATTAACCACTCCAATTCCTAATCTGTTTTCTTCCTCTCCAGTTTTGCCTTTCCCAGAATGTCCTATAAATGAAATCATATAGTATATAACCCTTTTAGTTGGCTTCTTTCATTCAATATGCCTTTGAAATTCAACCAGGTTGTTATATGTATCAATAGTTCTTTCCGTTTTCTGCTTAGTTATCCACTGAAAGAATGTATCATAATTTGTTTATGCAGAAAGTATGGGAGAAACCAGAGAAAGGGAGGAGATTGGCACAGCAACCCTTTAAAGTTGATGAACTCCTAGGCCCATCCTGCAAAATTTTGATACATTTTCATTTTTGTTCAGTTAAGAATATCTGGCCAGGCTGGTGGCTCACACCTGTAATCCTAGCATTTTGGGAGGCTGAGGAAGGTGAATCACTTGAGGTCAGGAGTTTGAGACCAGCCTAGCCAACATGGTGAAACCCCAACTGCACTAAAAATACAAATTAGCTGGGCATGGTGGTGCACACCTGTAATCCCAGCTACCTGGGAGAATGAGGTAGGAGAATTTCTTGAACCCAGGAAGTGGATGTTCCAGTGAGCCAAGCACCACTGCACTCCAGCCTGGGTGACAGACCAAGGCTCTGTCTCAAAAAAAAAAAAAAAAATTTTTTTTTTTACTTTTTCTTGAGCCTTCTTCATTGACTTACAGATTATTTATATGTATTTACGTATAAGTTATTTAATTTTCAACCACTTGGAAATTTTCCTTTTATTGATTTATAGTTTAATTCAATTATCAGAGAACATGCTTTGTATGATTTCAGCTATTTTAAATGTGTGAAGATGTTTTATGATCTGGTATATGTTCTGTCTTGATGAATGATCAAACCTATCCTTGGAAATAATGTATTCTTTTTCTTGTTATTGGGTGAAATGTTCTGTAAATGTGAATCAGATACAAATGACCGATGGTGTTATTCAGTTGTATATCCTTGCTAATTTTCTGTCAACTAGTCCTATCTAATACCAAGAGATGAGTAGATTTGACTATCCTTGCAGTTTAGTCCGCTGCTTTCAATTGTCAGTTTTTAACTCATGTATTTCGAGGTTTTACTGTTAGGTGCATATACACTTAGGAATTTTATGGCTTCCTTGTTACTGACCCTTCTATCGTTTGTAATGTCTTTCTTTATTCCTGATAATTTTCTTCCTACTAAAATCTATTTTGACAGATATTAATACAGCCACTCAAGCTTTCTTTTCATTTTTGTTTATATGATTCTTTTCTATCCTTGAAATCTACCTACATCATTATATTTAAAGTGAATTTCTTATATACAGCTTATAGTTAGATCATGTTTTAAAATTCATTGTGACAATGTGTCTTTTAATTGGTATATTAGCCCATTTAATTTAATTATGCTGGATTTAGGGCAATCATTTTATTATTTGTTTTCCGCTTGTTCCACATAAAAATTTCCTCCATTTCTCTTCTTTTTTGCCTTCTTTTGGGCTATTTGATTTTCTGGTATTTTAATTTATATGTTTGAATTTATCTCTTTGTTTCTTTTTGGAAGTTGCTCTAGGGATGACATTAAATATATTTAACTTCAACAGTCTGCTTAGAATCAGTATTTTACAGCTTCAAGGGAAATGTTAATATTTTTCTTTTAGTAGGTCATCAAACTGGTTGTATCCCAAGCTATTCCATTCAGTCTACTATCATTGTTGTTTCAGTGTCAGTTTCATTTTTCAAAGCTCTTCAGTACTATTAGGATCTATCCTGTGTGTGGGACACTGAGTAGCAAGCCTAGAAGCTAGGTGTGGTCTAGTTTCAGTTAGCTCAGTTTAGTTCAGTTCTCAAAGACTTTTATATGCTCTTTAGGACCACGTCCACCTATGTACAACTCCTGGGTAGGCACAGAAGTTCATAAACAACTTTATGGGGTTGCTAGTTTCTCTCTCTCTGTGGTTTCTGGCTCCCCGGAGTTTCCCTTGTCAGTTTACTGGCCAGAAAGCTTGGGCTTTCATTACTCTGTTCTGCTGTATGCTTCACACAACTGAATTTTTGTCCAGTACTAAGCAACAGCCAACAGAAAAAGAACAGAAGCAACAGATACTTGACTCACTTTTTTGAGACAACCAATCCTAATTGTAGAGGAGGTTCTCATCTCTCTGAGTTTTAGATATACCTCAGCGCCAGCTGATAATGTGATTGATTGTAGCCCCTGCAGGATTGCATGGGGACTGAGCTAAGAAAAAAGATAAAAGAAAACTACGGATTTCCTCCATTGTTTTTTAGTGTTAGAAGTCCTCCTTTCCGCTCCTTCACCCAGAACTGGAGAACTAGAATCTCATTGATGATTTAGTGGTACTTAAAATTCCAGTCTACAATCGACCTGCTATTATTTACTTTTTTAAGTCAACAAAAAGGCGCTTCATGCATTCTGTCTAGGTTTTTTTTTTTTTTTTTTTGGGGGGGGGGGTGGGGAACAAAATTTCGCTCTTGTTGCCCAAGCTGGAGTGCAATGGTGCAATCTTGGCTCACTGCAACCTCTGCCTCCCAGGCTAAAGCTATTCTCCTGCCTCAGCCTCCAGAGTAGCTGGGATTACAGGCATGTGCCACTATGACCTGCTAATTTTTGTATCTTTAGTAGAGACGGGGTTTCACCACATTGACAAACTGGTCTCAAACTTCTGACCTCAGGCGATCCACCTGCCTCGGCCTCCCAAATTGGTGGAATTACAGGCATGGGCCACCACACTGAACTCTAGGTTTTATAGGTGCACAGAAGAAATGGAGTGGAGTGTATTTATTCCACTTTACTGGGAACTGGAATCTCTACAGTTCAGGTATTGTAAAATCTCTTCAGATGATTTGAATATACAGTAAAGGTTAAGAAGCATTATTACAAGGAAACAACAGGGGATATAGCTGGAAAGGATAATCAAGACTATAATATGGAGTGCTCTCAATGCAAGGCAGAAGAACCTTTACATAATCTGAAGATTAGTTAGGAATGCAATGAAAGTTTTTGATCGGAACCACAGCTATATATAAAAGACTAACCTGGAGATGTATAAAAAAGGTTACAAAGGCAAAAAGAAGAAACTACAAATAAGATGACTTCTATAGTTCAGACAAAATACATCAAAGACTTAAAAGGGTAGCGTCAAGAAAGAGGGTGCAGACAGAATGACTCTGGAATAGCTTTTTGGCAACTAATTGAATTTTTTAAAAAATCAATAATGACAAAGAATTTAAAAGAGTTGGTGGAAAGAATTATATTCCCAAAAAACAAACAAAAAAAGAATTACATTTCCAGAAAAAGAAATGTTAGCAAAGTAGGCAAGCAGGGGAAAATAAGTTTGCTTTTGACATACTATGTCAGACCCATAGGTGAGGTTTATATAGTAATGCCCAGCAGGCAACGGAAAATACAAATCTAAATACAAAAATTCAGGGCTAGAGATACAGACTGGGGACTCAATGTATAAAAAAAAAGTTAGAATTTTGTGAGGACAAAAAATCACTGAGGGGATTCTACAGCAAGAAAGCAAACAAGAAAAAAATTGGGGGGGAGAATAAGAAGGAAGATTACCTTTTCTACTTGAAATTAAGACAGAGAAGGAATATTTAGAAAATTAAAAAAGGAAGAGTACAATTTCACAGAGATGCTCTAGGAATAGTATTTAAAAAGGCAAATACAAAATGAATTATGATTGTTGTAAGGCTGGGGAGTACACAAGGCAGTAGAACACGAGATGTGGTATAGTTTTGTGTTCTTCTCGCCTTTATCAATCATATCTTCCTTTCTTTTCACTAGATCACTTCCGTCAGCATACCATCATACTCTGGCAACAGCCATCTTAACCAACAAATTAGCAAGTAAGCAACCAAACATCTTCCTTTATCTTCACATTCTCTTCTATTATCTCTGCATTTTCTTATTTCCCATCATTGCCAAATTTCTTATGCTTTATATCTACGTTGTCTCTTTACCCTTCAATTCACTTTTAATCACTCAACTATGATCTGGTTTCCAATACTATCAGACCACTGAAACGTAAATTTATGTAGCCATATCCAATTCTTTCTGTTTGTTTGTTTTTGAGACGCAGTCTTGCTCTTTCGCCAGGCTGGAGTGCAGTGGCACAACCTGGGCTCACTGGAACCTCTGATTCCCTGGTTCAAGCAATTCTGCTTCAGCCTCCCGAGTAGCTGGGAATACAGGCATATGCCACCACACCCAGCCAATTTTTGTATTTTTAGTAGAGACAGGGTTTCACCATGTTGGCCAACATGATCTTGATCTCCTGACCTTGTGATCCACCCACCTTGGCCTCCCAAAGTGCTGGGATTACAAGTGTGACCCAATATGCCCAGCCACCATATCCAATTCTTAATATACCTGATTTAACAGCAGCAATGGGCACCACAAATCACTCGGACACTTTTGAAAGACTCTCACTATGCATCTCTACAATACGACTTAGTCCTGAGTTTTTCCCCCCTTATTGGCCTGCTCCTCTCCCTCTTTTAAATACTTTTCTCAGAGCTCAAGATTATGCCCTATTCTCTAATTTTTTTTTTTTTTTTGAGATGGAGTCTTGCTCTGTTACCCAGTCTGGCGTGCAGTGGTGTGATCTCAACTCTCTGCAACCTCCGCCTTCAGAGTTCAAGTTCTTCTCCTGCCTCAGCCTCCCGAGCAGCTGGGACTACAGGTTCATGCCACCACACCGAGCTAATTTTTGTATTAGTGGAGACAGGGTTTCACCATATTGGCAAGGCTGTTCTCGAACTCCTGACCTTGTGATCCACCCACCTCGGCCTCCAAAGTGCTGTGCTGGGATTACAAGCATGAGCCATGGCACCCGGCCTATGCCCTTGTTCTCTTTACACCATCTCCTTATATTTTCTCATCATTTCAATCTACTGGATTCAAATACCATCTTTATACTTACTAAAGTTATATTGTAGCCTGGAACTCACTGAAACCTGCCTCTTAACAGACAATCCAAATAGAACATGTCTAAAAAGAAACTCAATTGCCAATGTCAACTTATCCTTTCCTCAAATATTTCCCACACCACGATCTACCAAGTTATTTAGGTCAGGTGCCACACAATTGGTAGAATTATCTGTATTTGATACTGTACAAATATTGCTAGATTTAATCTGATTTTCTCCATCTTTACAGCTCCCGTATCAGTGCAGACCACAATGAACTACTCCAACAACCCCACAATTAATGCCTTGTCTACTTCCCCAAAGAAATCTTCTTAAACTGTATCATGCCATCCTTAAATGTCTTTTTATTACACCTAAAATCAAAAGAAAAACAATCTTAAGCATGACCTGGAAGGTTGTGCCCAATATGGTCACAGCCTCTTTCTGTTCACATCTCAAGCCATTCCCCTACAGCTCATTAGGCTCAATAACAGTAGTCTGATTTCAGTTCCTCCCATATCAACATTTTCCTAGCATTAGGACCTTTGTTTACGTTGTCCTCTGTTCCTGGAATGTGATTTCTCTAGTTCTTCCTATGAGTGACACCATATAATCGTTTGATCTCCATTTAAGTTAACATCAACCAAAAGAAAGCTTTCCTGATAATACTACCTACAGTTCCCCGTATCAGCTGCATGTTTGCTTCCTTCACAGAATATATCACAATTTATTAGTTATTTTTATTTACTGGCTTACTTTTGTATTATCTATCTTCCCTATTAAATTGCTCCTTGAGGAAAAGAACCCTGTCTATTTTATTTCTGTATCTACAAACATTCTAAACTAATTAGTATATAGAAGTACCCAATAAGTCAATGTTGAATGAATGAATGAAAGAGCAGGTTCTTTTTTTTTTTTCTTAAGGCACAGAGCTAATGGAGAAAGAGCAGGTTCTTAACTGACCTTTACTTGAATTTCTGTTCTAAGTATAAAACCTTGAAAAAAACCATCAATTTGAAACTGTTTTATTCCCTATAAACGAAAGGAAAAAGACTACATTAAGTAACCTGCAAATTTGAATTCAGCTTTATGCTTTTGTAATAGTAAAGTTAATTATAAACCATTTCTTAAACTACGAAGCTATGTGAGAGTACCATTTGGCTACCTTGAAATATTACATGGGAATGAAAAAAAAGTCACCTTTGCTTTCCTCATACATAGGCTTTCCTCACACTTTCCTCATATTAGAGATGACCACAAAATACCACTAGAAGTTATCTGTATTCTATCTCCATTCCCTATACAAACTGTAATTTCTCCCCATTTTTTTGGGTGACATCTTCCATGTTACTTGTCAGAAGTCATTAATTCAAGCCCTTATTGCTGTTTTTATGACTTTAACTGTTTTATGGCTGCTCTTTAGATATTTCAGAATCAAATCTAAATACTTACCAATGAAGTTTCTGTAACTCCTCCTCATTCCATTCCTTATCCTGAATTAAACCAGGTAAACATTCTAAGGAATGAATATTTGACTTCTCAGCTCCTATTGCCTCAGTAATTGCAAACTCTTTCCTAACACAAGACTTCTGAAGAGTTTCTTTGACAGAAGGTCTAGCTTTCTTTTGTTTAACATAAAATTCATTTTCACTTTCTTCAGTTTCAGGTTCTGAAATCACTGGAATATTACTTGTGGTATTTCTTGTGCTCTTTCTCAGGTGAACCACTGCTTCTTTGGTATTTCTTGCATTGGTTTTCTTAACAACTCCAGCTTTCCTTTTAATTTCCTTTTCTGTTTCACTTTCTTCAGTTGGCAAATCTGGTGAGGACTGATGCTTATAAAATGACATAGCTACCTGATTTTCTATTTTCTTCAATTTTGGTAACAACTTGGCATTTTTCTTAGAGTCAGAGGTGAGGATTTGCTCCTTTTCAAAGTTAGGTATTTTTATTTTCTTGCTGACACTAAGTAAATCATGTTCATTGCAATCTTCCTTCTTTTTACTTTTATGACCTTCATATGTATTTTCTGAAGTCCCCATGGCCTTGTTGACAGGACTTTCTTTTTGATGCTCTGGCATTACAAAATCTGTTACTGCTTTAATGGTGTCAGAGGACAGATTATACCTCATGCATCTTTGCTCTATCACTTTTCTAGATTTAAGTGGTGTTACTAAAATACAAGCTTTTCTCTGATTGATGGTGATGTATTTTCTTTCTTCATCTGGGACAAACTGTCCCCTTGAGGTTAGAATGTCAATGGATATATCCGATTCTTCAGTTGTCTCTTTAATTTTGTAAGACAAAAACCAAAGACCAAAATCTCAAATTAGCTATAAACAAATATAAGCAAAGAAAATATATTTTCACAGTATACCATTTTTATCCCAGAGCTACACTATATACCCTCCTGTCATATTAATCTTTCTGAAGCCCAGGTCTATTCAGACCACTGTCCCTTCAATTATAAACATATACTATTGTTTATACAAACCTGTCAGTGACTTCTCACAGTATTCTAGTAGACATATAAATAAGCTCCTTTGCCTGGCCTTCCACATAGTTCCAATCTCTCAATGTTCTCAAAATCTCAACTATATTCTATGTTTAGAACTACATCACTTGCTATTTCTCAGATTTTCTTGGTTCTTAACTTTCATCAATGTTGTTCACTCTACTTTGAAAATGTTCAGGCCTGGCATGGTGGCTCATGCCTGTAATCCCAGCACCTTGGGAGGCTGAGGCAGGCGTATCACAAGGTAAGGAGATTGAGACCATCATGGTGAAACCCCGTCTCTACTAAAAAATGCAAAATATTAGATGGCTGTGGTGGCAAGTGCCTCTAGTCCCAACTACTCAGGAGGCTGAGGCAGGAGAATCACTTGAATCTGGGAGGCAGAGGTTGCAGCGAGCCGAGATTGTGCCACTGTACTCCAGCCTGGGCGACAGAGCAAGACTCCATCAGAGAGAAGAGAGAAGAGAAGAGAGAAGAGAGAAGAGGGGGGGGGAGGGGATGGGAGGAAAGGGGAGGGGAGGGAAGGGAAGAATGTTCTTAACTCATCTATGAACATCAGTTTTATTCTCTAACCCACCTAGTGTACAAACTTGTACACATTCCCTATACTGAATGAAAACTCTCCTGCAAGTTTCCAGAATACTTTAAAATAATGCCATGTTTGACAGTGAGTCCGGTACTATAATTGCACACTTGTCTTTCAATCAGACTGGAAAAAATTTTTAATGGTTAGAACTTTATCTTTACATTTTGATTTTTTTTTTGCTGAAACCTTACTAAGTATGTATTATACGAGCTGTGCTAGTTAGGAAAACATGGAACTCCATCTGCATGGCTCCACTTTCTTTTTTTTTTGAGACGGAGTTTCGCTCTTGTTACCTAGGCTGGAGTGCAATGGCGCGATCTCGGCTTACCGCAACCTCCGCCTCCTGGGTTCAGGTAATTCTCCTGCCTCAGCCTTCTGAGTAGCTGGGATTACAGGCACACGCCACCATGCCCAGCTAATTTTTATTATTTTTTAGTAGAGACGGGGTTTCACCATGTTGACCAGGATGGTCTCGATCTCTTGACCTCGTGATCCACCCGCCTCGGCCTCCCAAAGTGCTGGGATTACAGGCTTGAGCCACCGCGCCCGGCTCATGGCTCCACTTTCATTGTCAATGATGTGTTAAAGAAACATACCAAAACTGAATCCCCCAAACGCCATGAAATACAGAACAAGAAAAACAGAACCTGAGAATCTTATATCTTGTCACTAAAGAAAGCAAATAAAAATGAGAACAATTCACCAATTCAAAACCTAAGTAATGAGAAGTCAAACTAACTGAAACTGACCTATCCAACTGTAATCAGAAATACATGTAAACTGCAAATCATCCCACCAATTGTCATAGAAACGTATTATAACCTCCACATATTATGTGCCATTGTTTACAAGATGACTGACAAAATGAGACTGATGGATAATACTGAATGCTGGGGAGAAAAGAAGCCTCAATTAACCCATGGAAAAAGGTACTAATCAAAATAACTTAGAAAGTTTCTACAAGATTTTCCACTGGCATCATATATCTTCAAATTATGAGAGAAGTATTTTCTTCTAATTCCTCATACAAATCCAATTCAGATGTTCAGTTGGGAATTTGAAAAATTTCAACATTCTAATTCTGAACAATACTTCCATTCAGAATATCTGTTAATTTTAATAAACCATTTAATAAAGATCCAGCTGTCTTGGATACTTTAACCCAATATGCATAAACTAATCTAAGTATCATCGTTTTCCTATCTTCTTCTTCAAACAAATAAATGTTCTTCACTTTCACTTTTCACTTACAAGAAATAAAACTGAAAAAATGCTATGAAACTAATGGCTTTAGCGCAACATGAAATTGTAAACTTGCTAATGTTTAGAGGAAAGGCTCTAAATTATGGCCTGCAGGATTCTAATTAAGCCACTCTGAAAATCCACACTTAAAGAAAACAAAATTATTGTATTAAATTCATAAAAGGATTCAGTCTTTACACATTCTGTAACCATATTTTAAATGATAATTTTGTGATCTAAACAAATCTTTTAGTACCCAGATTAAAGAGCGCAAACCTGTAAGTACAAGTGGCATTTAAATGGGTTGTTTTATTATGCAAATCATCTTATGTAAAAATAGCAAAACCAAACATTTAAAACCATTAAATATTTTGCCATTTTACACTAGGAAATTACAAGATCAGTTTTATCATATAAAAACATTTCAAATAGTAGCTTTCTGCTTATCATTAAAAAACCATGAAAAATATATTACCTTGCTTCTGACTTTTTATTAACCTTTCATTTGCTCTTTCACCATTTTTTAGTTTCTTTGAAGACATTTTATATTCTTTTTTTCCAATTAATTCCTTCAAAACAAAAACATAATTAGCTTTTATTTCAAAACTACTACCTAAACATGATCTGAAGTATTTTCATAGTATGCATCAAGCATACAAATTTTTAGGTACTTACAGTTCCAGAAATTTCACTAGTGGACACATTCAGAAACTCATTTGCCAGAGCTTGAGTGCTACGAGCAACATATGGGTATCCATTATCCTATATATTTTCCTTATTAACTTAATATTTTGTGGTTTTTCAAGTGCTTTTAAAAATATACTTTATTTAATTTAAGCTTTTCTCTAAAAGCTAAAACTTTTATTGTTGCCTGCATTCTGTCAATGAGAGACAGGGAAAATAAATATCAAGACATTCAGTCTCCAAGTTAATGAAAAGCGGATACTTAAAATAACATAACTCATGGAAGAGTGCAGCTCATGCCTATGATCCCCAGCACTTCAGGAGGCTGAGGTGGGTAGATCACAAGGTAAGGAGTTCTAGACCAGCCTGGCCAATAGAATAAAACTATGTCTCTACTAAAACTACAAAAAATTAGCTGGGTGTGGTGGTGTACGCCTATAGTCCCAGCTACTCAGGAAGCTGAGGCAGGAGAATCAACTGAACTCAGGAGGCAGAGGTTGCAGTGAGCAGAGATCATGCCACTAAACTCGTCACACACACACACACACACACACACACACACACACACAGAACTCATGTCCCTGATATGGTCCCAAACCTTTTCACTAGTAAATCACCCCTCTAAATATCAACTTGTACTATGCAGTGTACAATAAAGCCTTACCTGATTAGATAACCCATATCCTCCTTCATTTTGAATGGTATTATTTATTTGGTCATCTGGGAACCTTAATGATGGCTTACTTTGGCAATTACTGTGGCACACGTTTAATTCTGGAGCCCCTGGCAACTCACTGTGCTTATTATTGTTCAGTTCTATGAATGCAAAAAAACGGAGATCTCAGTCAATGATTATATAAAAGGTAAGCTGCTTTTCTACATGAAGAATTAACTTTGAGGCTAGATGTGGTGGCTCATGGCTGTAATCCCAGCACTTTCGGAGGCCGAGGGAGGAGGATTGCTTGAGCCCAGTATTTCAAGACTAGCCTAGGCAAAATAGTGATACACTGATTCTACAAATGATAAAAGGTTGGCGCATGCCTATGGTCCCAAATACTTGGAAGCTTGAAGTGGGAGATCACTTGAGCCAGGGAGGTCACGGCTGCAGTGAGCTATGATTGTGCCACTGCACTCCAGTCTGGGTGACAGAGCAACACTCTCAGAAATAATAGTAATTTTGAAAAAAAAAAAACCTGTCTAATTAATGTCACAAATATTTGTTATAATTTGACTATGATATAAAGCAATTTTATTTGGACAGAATCACTCTATATAGGGCTATATTTTGTTCAAACCACTTTTCTTCAAAAATAAAAAAATAAAAAATAAAAAAACCTAGACAGCCATATTATTCATGACCCTTGTTTTGGCTCTCCTTTGTCACATCTAAAGATAAGGTTAATCCATTTTGTGAGTAAAAATTCATCCTAATTGCACATCAACAAAACAGAAAGCTAATAATTGTTTCTCTCCTATTTCTTCATGTATGAAGAATTATGTTTCAACTAGTTTATGTATTCCAATGTATAACTAAATTTCTGCTAATTAAAATTTTGAGCAAAACTAAATTATACAGTATATATGTTCAACAGTTACTCAGCTGGAATTCTAGTTAAGTTAAAACAAATTCATAAAAAGTATAAAAACATTTTTTGTTATTCTTCTGGAATCTATACTTTAAAGATATACTGACTAGTCCTTGCTCTTGAAAATATTACCATATAATGAAGGAGGTTTCTATTATGATAAGTCATTTATCATATATTCTTGTAAGTGTAATAACAGAGATAAAGTGCTCTATGAGCAACACTATGATACGCAAGTACTTTTTAGGCAAATCATTAAAACACATACATACAGTTACATTATCTTAAATTAACATGGGTTGGTATCTTTACATCGCCTTAGCTATTTAATGTTAGACGTGGTTTTGTTTTTTTCATGCAAAGTGTAATGATACTAAAATTATTAACAGCTCCAATCACCACTCAAAATTTATGTGATATGAAGATAGAGTCTAACAGTTTCACTAAACAAAGATTTAATGAATCATACTAGAAAAATGACACAACCATAACAGAATACAGTAATATCTGCCCCTAAACTAAGATCCCTGGGGGCAAGGGGTTTCATGTTGTATTCATCTCTAAGTTCCTACAACTTTACATAGACCAGAGTTCATGGAAAGCATTTTCAAAATGCTGAGGCCAGGTGCAATGGTTCATGTCTATAATCCCAGCACTTTGGGAGGCCGAGAGAGGAGGGCTGCTTGAGGCCAGGAGTAGGAGACTAGCCTGGGCAACATAGTAGGCTCTCATCTCTACGAGAAATAAAAAGCCAGGTGCAGTACTGTATCCCTGTATTCCCAGCTACTTTGGAGGCTGAGGTGGGTGGATCACTTGAACCAAGGAGGTCGAGGCTGCAGTGTACCACGTACTCCAGCCTGGGATAGAGAGTAAGACACTGTCTCGAAAAAATAAAGAAAGATAAGAAAGCAAGCTGAATGATTCTCCTTTGGACACAACTGATACGTAAAATAATTCACCAAGCTTTAGTCTTTTAAATTTGTATTAATTTCTCTTGCCACTAGTTTTCTTAAACACTTTACTAATAATATTCACAATTAAGCTCAAATCCCTAATAAGTGCTAGCGCTAAGTCAAATGGAATAGATGAAGACATAAGAACCAAGACTAAAGACTAACAAATAATTAAAAGTGAGCTATCCAAGCACTTTGGAGGCCAACGCAGGTGGATCACCTAAGGTTGGGAGTTCAAGACCAGCCTGACCAACATGGTGAAACCCCGTCTTTAAAAAAAAAAAACAAAAAACAAAAAACAAAAAACACGTGAGCTATACTTTCAAAGATTTTCTTGTTTTAGTTGTAAAAAAGTAGATCACACGTGCTGAATCCCCAAGATTCCAGCATACTCAAGATGTTCCAGCAATAACAATAAGCAATATGCCTAAATTAGGGAAAATAGGATGACTTTTGATAAAAAGAGGAAGGACTGAGAAGGAACTAGAGCAATGGTAAGTGACTTTTTGCTAGCTCTGGGGAGGCAGTCATCTACATAAATTTAAGTTATTCCTTAAATAGTGTTCTTTGCATTAGAAAGGATAAGCAGTTTCAAATGGGGGTTGGGGAGTGGTTAGAACAGGATAGAGGTACATTTATATCCAGTATGGTGCTATGTTTTTGGCAGAAGGATTCCTGAACTCTTTTTAAGTTTTTCTAAGTTCTGTAAAGTTCTTGGTTACAAGGTCAAGGTAAAATCAGCAGAAATGTTTACAACATATTTCTGTAACTTTTACTCATCTATATTGTTTACAAAGAGCTGTAAGTTAATATTAGTGTTCATAACTTTTTTTTATTTTTTGAGACAGAGTCTCACTCTGTTGCCCAGGCTGGAATGCAGTGGTACAATCTCAGCTCACGACAACCTCTGCTTCCCTGGTTCAAGTGATTCTCCTGCTTCAACCTCCCAAGTAGCTGGGATTACAGGCACCTGCCACCATGCCCAGCTAATTTTTGCATTTTTTCAGTAGAGATGGGGTTTCACCATGTTGGCCAGGATAGCCTCAAACTCTTGACCTCAGGTGATCCACCCACCTTGGCCTCCCAAAGTGCTAGGATTATAGGTATGAGCCGCAGCGCCCAGACATGTTCATACATTTTTATACAGGTGAAGCAGATTATAGAGCTGGCAAAGAACTGATACAGAACAGTTCTGCTCCGGCTAGTTGGTATCCTTATTAAAATAAAAAAAAGAAGAAAGCTGGGCATGGTGACTCACACCTGTAATACCAGCACTTTGGGAGGCTGAGGTGGGCAGATCATGAAGTCAAGAGATCAAGACCATCCTGGCCAACGCGGTGAAACCCTGTCTCTACTAAAAATACAAAAATTAGCCAGGTGTGTTGGCAGATGCCTGTAGTCCCAGCTACTCAAGAGGCTGAGGCAGGAGAATCACTTGAACCCAGGAGGTGGAGGTTGCAGTGAGCCGAGACTGCATCACTGCACTCCAACCTGATGAGAGAGCGATACTCTGTGTCAATAAAAAAAAAAGGGGGGGGGGGGAAGAACAGTTCTGCAATCTATTTTTGTAAAAGTCATTCAAGGAAACCGTTTTCTTGAATTTCATTTCCTCCACAAGAGGAAGCAAATTTTGCCTATTTGGAGGAATGAAATTTAGCACAAAAATGTGTCTTTACAAGGCCAGGCGCGGTGGCTCAAGCCTGTAATCCCAGCACTTTGGGAGGCCGAGGCGGGTGGATCACAAGGTCAAGAGATTGAGACCATCATGGTCAACATAGTGAAACCCCGTCTCTACTAAAAATACAAAAAGTTAGCTGGGCATGGTGGCGCATGCCTGTAATCCCAGCTACTCAGGAGGCTGAGGCAGGAGAATTGCCTGAACACAGGAGGCGGAGGTTGCAGTGAGCCGAGATTGCGCCACTGCACTCCAGCCTGGGTAACAAGAGCAAAACTCTGTCTCAAAAAAAAGTGTCTTTACAGTAGGCTTGAGGTAGGTTGGCAGTTTAAACACTTTATGTCAAGGTGTTTGAAACTGAAAGAACAATCATCTTTCATTAATATGTTTATCAGTGTTCTTGGTATTCTGATTAATAAAAAGATGATTATTAATGTTACTGAGCCAGGGCCTCACTCTGATGCCCAAAATGGAAAGTCCAGCAGCGCAAACAAGGTTCACTGCAGCCTCAACCATCTGAGCTCAAGCGATCCTCCAACTTTAGCCAAGAAGATAGAAACACAGGCATGTGCTACCATGTGTGGCTAATTTTTTTGACTTTTAGTAGAGACAGGGTCTCATCATGTTGCCCAGGCTGGTCTCAAACTCCTGGGCTCGAGCAATCCTCACACCTCAGCCTCTCAAAGTGTTGGAATTACAGGCGTAAGTCACTGGGCCCAGCCATAGGTGATGTTTAATGAAGCAAGCTGAATGCTGACTATGATCAATCTGCATTGTAGTTATTTCTCATTTAGTAGTGAAGGAGCAAGAATTTTGGGGCAGTATAAGTCAAAGAATGTAATAATACTACACACATTACAAACAATAAACAATGTAGATCATGGAAGAATTTACCACTGTACCAACAGAGAAGTAAAGACAAAACATACCTGAGTTACCACAATCAAGATCGTAAGCGGTGGTGGCTCTTTGAATTATATCTGTTTGGTTTTCTCGTGCACCATTTTTCATTGATTTTCTTATGTCAGGAACAGATCTTCTAGTTTTCTGTTTTTTTCTGGCCTCTTTCCTGTTTTTTTCACCAGCCCTAAAAGCAATTATTTTTCCTTAATACTGATTCTCAAAAACAAAACAAAACGAAACAAAAAACCCTTTCATAAACAAATAAAAATCCTTCACAGAAAGCTCTTTCCACCCAGGCAGGGTATCTTTAATCTTATATTATTAATCCTTCATGGCTCCCACTCCCTCCTTCACAATGAACTGAGGTGTAACAACTTAAGTCAAAGGACTCAAATATGACCTCCTAACTGCTTTCTACTATATGCTCTTATAATTCCTACTTAATGATACAGGAAAACTACCAGACAACTGCCAGTTGCCTGTTTTTATAAATAAAGTTTATTAAAACACTGCCATGCTCACTCATGTATATATTATCTACGGCTGCATTTCTTCTACAAACACAGAGTTGAATAGCTGCAATAGAGGCAATATGCCTGCCAGAATATTATTTTTGCAGAATATTTCCTTTACAGAAAAAACCTGCCAGCCCCTGTTATCAATTATTACATTTGTGCTGTGATTAAGTTTGAACTGTCTCCCCTATGTGCTCCATAAGGGCAAGATGTAATCAAATTCTTCTTTGTTTCGCCAGCATCAACTATGGTGGCTATTAAGTAGCAGACTCTATAACTACCAAGAAAATGAATGAAAAAAAAAAAAGAGGAGCAAGAACTGTACACTAGTATTTAATAAATGCATGCCTTTTGAAGGGCAGAAGATTAGGAATTACTCTTTGACATATGTCAAAAGTTTTATTTTCCTTTGAGATTTACTGAATATGACAGAAGTTCTAGTAAAATGTTACCGCTGGGGAAATGCTTCACAGACCAAAGCAAACTTCAAAACTGGCATTTGAAACAAATAACTAAAACAGGTGCATTTAATTAAATGTAAATTATACCTCAGGCCAGGCACAGTGGCACACACCTGTAATCCCAATACTTTGGGAGGCTGAGGTGGGCAGATTACTTGCAACCAAGAGTTTGAGACCAGCCTGGCCAACACAGCAAAACCTCATTTCTATTAAAAATACAATGGCCGGGCACGGTGGCTCAAGCTTGTAATCCCAGCACTTTGGGAGGCCGAGGCGGGTGGATCACAAGGTGAAGAGATCGAGACCATCCCAGTCAACATGGTGAAACCCCATCTCTACTAAAAATACAAAAAATTAGCTGGGCATGGTGGCGCGTGCCTATAATCCCAGGTACTCAGGAGGCTGAGGCAGGAGAATTGCCTGAACCCAGGAGGCGGAGGTTGCGGTGAGCCGAGATCGTGCCATTGCACTCGAGCCTGGGTAACAAGAGAGAAACTCTGTCTCAAAAAAAAAAAAAAAAAAAAAAAAAAAAAATTAGCTGGACATGGTGGCACACGTATCATTAAATGCAAATTATACCAAAATAAAATTGACTTCTAAAAACATAAAACAACATTTTACCTTAACTGTTCTAGAAAGTTATCAATGTGCTCTTTCCAATTTTCTGGAAATCCAAACATAAATTTCCTTATGAGATAGTTTGGATACCCTATTTAAGGATAAACAACAAAAAAAAGTATTAAAAAGTCTCAAATTTTAAAGAGATATCATTCATTCATTAAATCATTTAAGAAATATGTACTTATTGCTTAATATGTGCCAGGCACTATTACAGATATTCAGAATTCAGCAGTAAACTAAGCAGACAAAAACTCCCATCCTCATGGAACTTGCCTTATAGTGTGAATAAAGAAAGCTAACCAACAAGTACAATATCTTGTTTGTGAGACGGTTATGCAGGGAAGGTAGATATGGATATCAGTATGTTCATGGAGGAGTAGAGGGGTGAATAGAAATTTAAAAATGAATAATCAGGGAAGTCTTTAATGAAATAGCATCATTTGAACAAAGTGACTGAACTATGTGGCAATATAGGGTTAGAATGCTGCAAACAGAGAAAACAGAAAGTGAAAAACAAGAGTACACCTGGCCTGTCTGAAACAATCAGGAGGCTAGTATACTTGACGTGGCGTAAGGAGGGGTTAGGACTTAGGAGGCCACTCAGATGAGTAACAGAGGCAGTAGGAAGTGTGAGAGAGTATAATACAAGACTATCAGAGTCATTTTATAGAACTGGCCATTTACTTTGGACAAGATGAGAGGCTATGGAAAGATTCCAAGCAGAGGAGATACAGGATCTAGTTTACTAGGACTGCTAAAGTAAACTGCTACTTTGAGAAGATCCCGTGGAAGAGCAAGGGGAGAAGAATGAGACCAGTCAGAAGGCCACTATAATGATCCAGATGAAAGATGAGGAAAGTCTGGACTATAATGAGGCTGCAGAGGTCTGAGTTTGGGATACATTTTGGAGATATATTAATAGGATGCACTGACACACACACACTGATGTGGATACAAGAGAAACTGAGAATTTGAAGATGCCTCCAAGAATTCTGGCTAACCACTGGACACATGGAAAGATGGGGAAGACTATCAGTTTAGCAAATTTAATGGAAAAGATCAGGTTTTAGATATACTAAGTTCAAAATGCCTACAGACATCCTAGTGGAGATGTCAAATAAACAGGTGGAAAATGATCTGGTACTAAGGTGCGAGGTCTTGGTTTGAGATATAAAATTGGTGTTCATCATCATATAAATCATTTTTAAAGACTAAAAGGAATCAGCACACCACAGTGTGTATTAATAGAAAGAACCCCAAGCTATCCCATTATGCAGAGGTAAAGAAGAAACAGAGAAATACGCAAAGAAACTAAGAAGGAACAGGCAGTGAGGCAGCATAAAAACTGGAATATGGTATTAGAGAAGCTAAATAAAGTATTTCAAGGAGGTAAGTATGATGAACCCTGTTAAGTGTATACTGAATGTAGCAATATGGAGGCCACTGGTGACCTTGATATGGGTGGTTTTGGTGAGTAACTGGAGATTAAAGAGAGTTCGGAAAAAAAAATTCAAGAAAAATTAGATTTACAGTAGTAAATATAAACAAACTGAGTTGTTTTGCTATAAATGAGAACAATAGTATCTAAAAGGAGAAATGTGGTTAAAAGAGGGATTTTTAAAAAAGAAGTAGAGAAGGGAGAATTACTGGAATAATGTCCTTGAGTAAAAGAGAAAATGAGAGCTAGTGTACAAATGGAGAGGCTGACATAGACAGTAACGTGTTAGTTCATTCACAACAAAACCAGATACTGATCCAAGCAGGTGAGCATATGGTAAGAAAAAAAAATCCTTCCGATTGCTCCTACTGCTCAGGTGCTCTGCTCTCTCCCCTACTCTGCCCACCTGACAGAGGGTAAAGGAGGAGGTATTGGAGACTTCTCAAAATATGAAGGAGTCATCATGAAGGATGGGAGAGAGAATAAATTAGGGAAATATGGTAGGATACCAAACAGCACCAAGAAATCACTAAGGGACTATGACTTCTTGCTAGTAAACATACATTTAAAGTAGACTACTTGGATGTGTTTTTCTCCAGTTATATTCAGCTGTGTGCAAAGCATAGGTAGAAAATCAGCTTACACCAAGGAATGGGGTTGTGCCAGGTAGTTTCAACAGAGAGAGGAATTAAGGAGTTAAGTTATATTCTTGTAACATAATTCCTTATAAATAAGGAGTACCGAATTCGATTTTTAAATAATCACCCAACTTAGGCTGGGCACAGTGGCTCACACCGATAATCCCAGCACTTTGGGAGGCTGAGGCAGGCGGAACAACTGAGGTCACAAATTCAAGATCACTATGGCCAACATGGTGACACCCTGTCTCAAAAATCAGTGGGCATTGTGGCACAGTGGAGGCTGCAGTGAGCTGAGATCGACCATGGCACTCCAGCCTGGGCGACCAAGCAAGACTCTGTCTCAAATAAAAAAATAAAATAAAATAAAATAAAATAAACCTCAAGCCTCTTACACTTCTGTATCTATTCCTTGGGGGCATATGTGTAACCTATGCATGAAAAGGACTGGCCACACGGAACCAGGGTGATGCTTCACACTTAATTATCCACAGCTGCTGCAGTTGCTATTGCAGCATTTTTTTGTGCCATGTTGGAAGTGGTCATGCACAGGAACAGCCTCGTGAAACCCCATCTCCACTAAAAATACAAAAATTAGCCGTGCATTGTGGCAGGCACCTGTAGTCCTGGCTATTTAGGAGGCTGAGGCAGGACAATCACTTGAACCCTGGAGGCAGAGGTTGTAGTGAGCCAAGATTATACCACTGCACTCCAGACTGGGTGACAGAGCGAGACTCTGTCTTAAAAAAAAAAAAAACAACAAAAAACAAAAAACAAACCACATACACACACACACACCCACACCCACCACATAACTTATTTAAAATTGTCAATAAGAGTGATAAGTCAGAAAAAAATTATCAACTTAATAAAAGTTTTACATAGTATCAGTTATAATTTTTAGTTCAGATTTATTCATAATTTTAAAATACCTAATTAAAAAGTTAAAGTATATTACTGTGAGAAACATAGGTAACTGCTTTACTTCTTAAAATAACTTATCAATAACGACAATCATTTACCTGCTTCTTTCATGGAAATTCGGTCTATCATGCCTTTTAATATATAAACGTTGCCTGATAAAGTCCTAAGTTTGTTGTGCTCAATCCGCTCTATAATTACATTACTGTGCCAATATATATTAGTGATATCTCTAAAGAAAAAAATAGTTTTGGTAAGGTTAAAATATTCACATACAAATTTGTAACAGAAAATAATTTTACACTCTAGCTACAGCAACACTAACAATATTATTAGTCTAATTACAAAATATTTGAGGGCCAAACATTATAGCAGAACTCAACTGCTTGGCTATTGTAATCCTCAGATCATGTACCAAAAGAACTATACTGTAGCCAAACCATGTTCTTCCTATAAAATATTACTGTAAGGGAGCAAGGGCCTTGTCTAAATATCTGATGCTGGCAATAAATACTTGAAGCTTCAGCTTAACTGATGCTGAGCTTCCAAAGAATGATTTCCCTGTCCCTCTCTTTCAGGGTCTATACTTTGTTAGCTTTTTTTTTTTTTTTTTTGAGACGGAGTTTCACTCTTGTTACCCAGGCTGGAGTGCAATGGCGCGATCTCAGCTCACCGCAACCTCTGCCTCCTGGATTCAGGCAATTCTCCTGCCTCAGCCTCCCGAGTAGCTGGGATTACAGGCATGTGCCACCATGCCCAGCTAATTTTTTGTATTTTTAGTAGAGACGGGGTTTCACCATGTTGACCATGGTGGTCTCGATCTCTTGACCTCGTGATCCACCCGCCTCGGCCTCCCAAAGTGCTAGGATTACAGGCGTGAGCCACCGCGCCCGGCCCTACTTTTTGTTAGCTTTTATGCAGAGAAGTAGATTGGATTCAGCTAACCTTGGGTTTTTTTCCCCCCTTGCTATACAGTCAAATGTTTTTACCTTTCATTTTTGAAGGTACCAAAAGAAGTTTAAGTAGGAAAAAACAAATTATGGTATCAAATCACAAACTCATAATCTCTTCTTCATATTTCTTTAAAGAATATGAAACAGAACATATGAAGATGTATTAAATAAATGATGAACACCATCCCATTCATCAGATAACTAGCGATAATAAACATACGAATGGTGAGCATGACAAATAAGGAAGTCAAGTTACTTTAATTTGGTCAATTGGAATTAAATCCGTACAGTATACCTTAATACAGTGTTACTTCTCTTCAGTTATTTTTTTGCTTTATTTACTGATTTAAGAAACACTTAAAAAACACTCTGAAAGCACTGTTCTCTAGACTTTCATTTAATCCTCAACACTAACTAACAAGGTAAGTAATACAATTATCCATATTGCACAGATGAAGAAACAGATTGACAGGGGTTAAGTGACTTGCCCAGGTAATACAAATAGTAAGCAACAGCAACATAATTCCAACAAAGGCAATCTATACTGCATCATCTTGAATAGTAACGAATTGGGCACAAGGCAGACAGATTAAAAAATGGACCATACAACTTACAAATTTACATATAAGTATCTTAAAAAGTTATAACTTTTTTTTTTTTTTTGAGATGAGTCTCGCTCTGTCACCCAGGCTGAAGAAGTTATAATCTTTTATTACAAATATTTGTAGCACTAAGAAACTGGTCTTGAAGAATAGGAAATGGCGCTAAGACAGTAGCAGAATTAGGTAAAGCCCACTTAGGTGATAATGCTCTCACTTGAGGGAGAACCAGACAGCGCCAGTGATTACTTAATATGTAGCTTTATGGCAAAGGTTTAAGTAATTTTGATTCCTTTTCTGGATCAGTAATTTACATCTGGTTGTCCCAATTTAGGTGTGAGAATCTGGACTGATTCTCACATGTAATAAATATTAACTGATTGTATATAATTAAGCAGATAATACCAGTCCACTTATTAGCACTTCAGAAAAAAATAAAGCACTATACAAATTTGAACTGTCACTATTTTTAAAAAAAACTTGAGTAAACATGCAAAAACAAGAAAGCTAGTAGCAATGAATGTGGCTAGGACCTGCACAGTAATTTTACTTTTTTGCCTTCAGTTCATAACCTCATTAGGTCTTTGTTTTGTGGAAGATGCTATTTCTCATGCATCACCTTTTAAGTGCTTAAAAAAAAGTTTTATTAAAAGAATACTGAAATATTATACTTACATCAATTTTCCTTCTACACATATAGCAGTATTATTATTGATGCTTTTAATCACCCATTCCTGTAGCTGAACTACCTAATCAAGTACAAAACAAAGAACATATTTCCTGTATTACTTGCAGCACAAGCTTTACAAAACTAACATACATTAAAAGAAAAAACTTGTCTAAGTAATCTAAATATTCTTTAGTGCCCATTTATATAGGATTCACATTCTACTCTAAATAGTAATAGGTAAAATTCTTGTATATAATTAAACAGAAAAGACTGAATTCAGGTTGTACTGCATTTGCTCTAAACAATTATACTTCATTCCATTATCAAATCTCAACTGAGGGGGAAAAAATCATGTAAAATCCTAAGGTACAGATTAAAACACCAAGTTCTGGCCGGGTGCGTGGCTCACGCCTGTAATCCCAGCACTTTGGGAGGCCAAGGAGGGCAGATCACGAGGTCAGGAGTTTGAGACCAGCCTAACCAACATGGTGAAACCCTGTCTCTACTAAAAAAAAAAAACCGAGTCCTATAAAAAGCTTAATAACATGGAGTGAAACGAAGTCAGCTATGTTTTGTAACTAAAAAATTAGAGCTTTTTTTTTTTTTTTGTAAAGTTTAGAACTGCATCCCAATTTTCTACCAATTAAAAAGGTGACTGCTGGTAATCTACATTTAATGGCAATTTATTCCAAAGTGAACATGTGAATAGCTCAGAGAACTCTTTTATTATTTAAGTAAAATATCATTCCACTGGAAAAAAATTTGACCATCTGTGCAAAGAAATTCTTGCATATATTTCATAAAATTTAAGATTGAACTACAATGTGAAAAAGGGTCAAAATTTATGGAATAATTTGAGTGCAATTTACTTTATATATAAAGTTATACATTTACAAATAAAGACAAATTCTCTAGTTGTAGTTTTATGCTGAGTCAGGAAAATACATTAAAATGTGACAGTCTTTGTTATGACACGTGTCAATTATGTTCATTTAAAAAATTGTAAGTAATGACCAGGGACAGTTGCTCAAACCTATAATCCCAGAACTTTGGAAGGTCAAGTTGGGAGGACTGTTTGAGCCTAGAAGTTTAGAAGTTTAAGACCAGCCTGGGCAATAGTAAGATTCCACAAAAAATTTTAAAAATTTAGCTGGGTGTTGTGGTACACACCTGTAGTCCCAGCCACTGAGAAGGCTGAGGTGGGAGGATCACTTGAGCTTGGGAGGTCAAGGCTGCAGTGAGCTGAGCCTCGACAGATGATGGAACAAGACCCTGTCTCAAAAAGTAAATACATAAAAATAAAAAATTATAGGTAGGATGGCTTATAAGCCGTGGGCCTCAGAAGTAATGGCAAGGGGATCCACCATCGTGTCTCACCCTCACCCAAGACACAGACATGGCTTCTGTTTTTAAGCCCCTATTAAATGTTTCTTTCTTAAAATAAAAAATTATAGATAGGACTTGGGGAAGGAGCAGTAAATACTATTCCCTTTTTACCTTCTCCCACATTTGGAATTACATGAGATATATCAATGCATCAGTCAGATATAGATAATCCTGTACCATACTATTATACTGCTTATATAAGATATCAAAACATTCATTATTCATTCAACAAATATTTGTTGAGTTCTACACACTGTTTTAGAAAGCGGATTCAGTGAGAAACTAAACAGCTGCCCTCTTAGGTCCAACATTCTTGCGTGTGTGTTGGGGTGGGGAGCAGAGGCAAGCAGGATGGTGGCACTAAACAAATATGAAAATGTCAGGTAATGATAATTACTATGAAAAATAAATCTAAATGGAGAATTTTTTTAGACAAAACAGTCAAGGAATGTCTTAGAAGAGAGAAGTGAATAAAGTGAGGGATGAGTCACATGGATATTAAGACGAAGATTCTTCCAAGCACAGAGAGTTAGACCAAAGACCGAGGTAAGCACACAGAAAGGCATAGTGATTTGAAAGGAGTATGTGACAGGGAATAAGTGGTGAGGCTTGAGATTTCCAGGATTAACTAAGTACAGCTCCATAAACCATGGTAAAGGCTTAGTGTTTTCTACTGAGATGAAAAGTTACCAGAGGATTCTGAACAGAATAACATTTAACAGTTTAAGGGGCTGTTGGGTAGAGATGAGACTATATAAAGATTTTAGCTTCTGTCCGGAAAACAAGACTGACAAGGAGAAAAGCAATACTGGAAGCAGGGAGACCACTAGGCTATGACAGTTAACCCCAGACTAGGAGGTAGTAGTTGAACAGTGAGAAGAGGCCACATTCAGGAGAGTAGAGCCAACGGGATTTCTTCATGGTTTGGATGTGGAGCATGAGAGAAAAAAAAGAGTCTGAGATTAACCTAAAATTTTTCCTATATACTGGGGCCAATGATACTACAATGTACTAACACAGGACAATGGAGGAGAAGGTACAGTAAAAACATCAAGAATAAGAATCTCACATTTTCTCACATTTTAAATTTGACATGCCTATTTGATATCAACAGAAAAGTCATACAGACAACGGCACAGAGAGTAGAGTTTAGAAGAATATCCTGGACTGGAAACATATTTGAGAGCTATCAGCATAGAGATGACACTTAAAGCTATGATACTGGAGATAAAGTCTAGAGAGTACATGTAGGTAGAGAAACATAGGACTGATTTGTGGTAATTCCAACATTTCTAGGAGTGATTCTAGGGAAAGAAAGAGTAAAGAGCAAGGGGGACAGAGAATGGATGGCCAGCCGTGTAGTAGAAAATCAGGAGAGATCCCGGAATACAAAAGACAAAGCATAACACTTTTTTTAGAAAGACATTTTGGTTCACTGCATTAAACTTTCATGAGAAACTGAGAATAAGAAATAAGAGGCCAAGCATGGTGGCTCATGCCTGTAATCCCAGCACTTTGGGAGGCGGAGGTGAGCAGATCAAGAGGTCAGGAGATGAAGACTATCCTGGCCAATGTGATGAAAACCTCATCTCTTCTGAACAAAAAATTATCTGGGTGTGGTGGCATGTGCCTGTAGTTCCAGATATTCGCGAAGTTAAGGCAGGAGAATCACTTGAACCCAGGAGGCGGAGGTTGCAGTGAGCAGAGATCATTCTACTGCATTCCAGCCTGGGGGACAGAGCAAGACTTCATTAAAAAAAAAAAAAAAGGCCGGGCGCAGTGGCTCAAGCCTGTAATCCCAGCACTTTGGGAGGCTGAGGCGGGCGGATCACAAGGTCAAGAGATTGAGACCATCCTGGTCAACATGGTGAAACCCCGTCTCTACTAAAAATACAAAAAAATAGCCGGGCGTGGCGGCGTGCGCCTGTAGTCCCAGCTACTTGGGAGGCTGAGGCAAGAAAATTGCTTGAACCCAGGAGGCGGAGGTTGCAGTGAGCCGAGATTGTGCCACTGCACTCCAGCCTAGTGCCTGGTGACAGAGTGAGACTCTGTCTCAAAAAAAAAAAAAATCAGTCAGCCAGCTGCAGGGGCTCACGTCTGTAATTCCATCATTTTAGGAGGCTGAGGTGGGCGGATCACTTGCAGTTAAAAGCCAGACCAGCCTGGCTAACATGGTGAAAATCTGTCTCTGCGAAAAATACAAAAATTAGACAGGTGTTGTGCCGCATGCCTGTAATTCCAGCAACTCAGGAAGCTAAGGAAGGAGAATTGCTTGAACCCGGGAGATGAAGGCTGCAGTGAGCCAAGATTGCACCACTGCACTCCAGCCTGGGAGACAAGTGTGAGACTCTGTCTCAAAAAAAAAAAAACAAAATCTGTCACTGGATTTGGTGTTTTAGAGATGACTGACGAACTTGGAAAGGGCAATATTCATAAAATAGTGGATATTTTATGCATAGTCCAAAGTGAAACATGTTCAAGAAGGAATGGAGAACTTAAAACCATGAATACATAAGACCTCTTTCAAAGTATCTTGCTATAAAAGGGAAACAAAAAATGCTGTAGCAGCTGGAGTTGGATAAGGGATAAAGGAAAGATGGACTTTTGTTTGCATGTTTTTAAAAAAATGCAGGCCATGTTTCAACATGTTTATATGCTAAAGAGAATGATCTAGAAAAAAAAAATTGAGGGGGCAATTGAAAAGGCAATGTCCTTTAGATGGTAAGAGGAAACGAATGGGTCCTGAAAAGGAACATAAATAGCTCATCCATTTTTAACAGGAGGGAAAACAGAGTAGGTGAAAACATAGCAGCGTTAGATTCTGTGATGAGATTATGAAGTTCTCAATGAAATGCGAATGAAGAGAAGGTCTCGAGGTTTTTGGAGAGAAAAAGTGAATTACTCTTCCAGGAAAGTCAGAGAGTAGACTGACAAGTGAAATGTACCAGGAGTAATGGGGCAATACTGAGAGGCCATTTAAGGTTTGTCGTCAAATTTAAATGAGATGAGTCAGCACAGTTGTGTGGTTTTGCTACAGCCATTTTCAGCTGTCTGGTACAGGAATGTAGAGTTAAATTTAACCAGGGTTGAGATTTTGCCAATGGAAGAGAAAGAGAAAAAAAGAGTTGAGACTTATAACCTAGAGCGGTTATAGTGATGGACTAGGGAAATGAGGACATGAGAGTTGATGGATGAATGCTGTCTTAGTGGGGTCAGAACAGTGATGGGGAGGGGTACGAGAACAGTGCTAGAGGCGAATGATCTGAACTATAGAAGTTGGCAGTGAGACAGTGGCACGTCTAAAAGAAAATTCAGTGCATGTTTGCTTGGTAATGAGAAGGAATGGGGATGTCTATGGTAGAGGGTAAAGGCAGGAGAAAGGTCACTGACTATCAAAAAAAGAAGGCTGGATGGATCATCTCAACGAGTGCAGATGTAACCAGAGATTATGACAGAAGTAGTAGAGAGAAAACTAACAGGTGTCAAACACTTAAAAATGTAAGGTCATAACTAGGAGGTTGTACTACAGATGTATATAGCTGGTAAGGTCTTACGGCATGTGCTTCGAAGAAGCTTTAGAAAAAAGGAAGAAAAAACTGTCTGAAGTAGCAATAAGGAGAAAGAGAAACAAACCTTATGTCATCCCTAGGTCCAACAGAGTGCGGGATATAAGAAAAAAGGAGCCACAACTTGAGTCGGTTGCAGAAGCCGTATTTTAGTTAGAGCAAGGTTAAGAAGTCTTCATAGAAGACAGGGAATAAAACATTTTGCTGATGACATAACTGGAGTTCAAAAGGACACAATGTAATATATGTAGAGTTAGGTATGAGTGAGAAATTGAGACAGAATTAGTGATGTACAGAACTAAATAGGGATAAGAGTCTTGGGAAGCTTGGACTTGCGGAAACTGAGATAAACAGCACTATAGAGATGATGGAATTAGCACTACGGGGCTTCTTAGAATAGTTGCCTTCAAACTTTTCTGCTTAACCCACCTCACACATTTTTAAGTCAACATCTAAAACTTTTCATCTAAAGTTTAAATATTTTCAGGCCGGGCCCAGTGGCTCACAACTGTAATCGTAGCACTTTGGGAGGCCAAGGAAGACGAATGACCTGAGCTCAGGAGCTCAAGACCAGCCTGGGCAACATGATGAAACCCCATCTCTACTAAAATACAAAAATAAAAATTAAAAAATTAGCCAGACATGGCAGTGCATACCTGTAGTCCCAGCTACCCAGGAGCCTGAGGCAAGAGAATTGCATGAACCCAGGAGGCGGAGGTTGCAGTGGGCCAAGACTGCGTCACTGCCCTCCAGCCTGGGTGACAAAGCGAGACTCCGTCTCCAAAAAAATAAATAAAAGTTCAAATATTTTCAAATAATGTGATTTCCAGTGAATATATTGAGATATAAAATCATAAGTGGTATGTCGGGCTTTAAAATTTAGATGGCTACCAGGGAGGCTTAGGTGCCCAAGAAGGCAGCCTGGGCAACAGAATAGGGCCTCATCTAAAAAATTGATTATTAATTAAAGTTTAGATAGAATTTATACACCATCTCAATTTTATAACCCCCATCATCCATTTAAGAATTAATGGCTGGAAGCAGTGGCTCACACCTCTAATCCCAGCACTTTGGAATGCTGAGACGGGAGGATCGCTTGAGGTCAGGAGTTAGGAGACCAGCTTGGCCAACATGGTCTCAAAATATAAATAAATAATTAATCAATGGGCAAACCTTTAACAATTGGAAATTTTACACTCCATCTTCCTCCTTAAGTCTGTATTTCCTTTCCACTTTCTTCAGAGAATTCATCCTAACATAACAGTTTGATGCTTTAAAGTCTTTTACTGATTACTCTCTATTTAATTTGGGAAAAATTCTCAAATCTTCAGATGCAACAATTCCTTTCTATCTTAATTGATCTAACTATTTTAACAGCACCCTAAGTATCAGAGAAAAAAAGAGCAGAAATGAATTCAGTGTTCATTACCAAAAGGAACAAGTAAATTACTGAAGACTACACAACTAGTAATACAGCAAGATAAGACTTAACACCTGGGTCTTGTTACATTCAGCTCACTGTTCTTTTCACTAGGTCACACTGTCACTACAGTATATAATAAAACATGATAATGAAGACACTGTTAATAATGAAGCACGCAGGTTCAAATCCTAGCTAGGAAAAAAAAATAATGAGAGAATATTAAAAGCTGTTGAAGAATGGAGTAAAAATAGAATATCTGCCTTAGAAGTTTTCCCACCTGATTTTTTTTAACTTCATTTGTTATAGTTTGAAATATTCTTGGAGAAAGCTTTGAAACATTTCTTTTTGACCTCCGAGGTATTGTTAAATGAAGTCTTGGTGTTGCAAGTACAATTTTACATGTATCTTTCGTGGAACCTGGTAGACCAGTCTCCCCAGGCACTGCTTTTTCATCTCCTTCCTTAACTTCCTGTTGCGAAGTCCCTTCTGTCGTCCTCTCACTCTCAGAAACCGTTAACAGACTGCCAGTAGGAACACAATTAGTACTGAGAGTCTCAGTATTAGTATTTTGAAACTCTTCATCAGCAGAACCTAGGCCTTCTACAACAAATGTGTCCTTTTTAGACCCAGTGGTTCCAACTACATTTTCCTTTGAGTGAAGAATTTGTTTAGCCAATTGAGCTCTAGTTAATGCCTTGTTTGGGGCTTCTGTAGCCAAAAAATTTTCCTGTTCTTGGTTCAGAGTCGGAAGTTCTGCAAAAAACATGAAACAACACAAAATTTATAGAAGGATGACATAAAATTAAAAGAGAAATTTAGGTTAGGACTATTCCACCCGCCTGCCCAGTCTTTCTCTGAGTGTCTCTTTTACAATTCAAGCTTTTGTCCACAGCCAAAGTTTAAAGCCCACACAGGGAAAATAATTACCTAGAACATTTAACCATATACTTAAGTAACAAACTAAAAACAGAAAAAAAATAGTTTACCGTAAGTTAAATTGTACAGTGGTGCTTTCTTTTCCTGCTGGCACGGAATCTTTTGTTGGACCAGGAGGAAAGTATCGTTGTTTGATGATTCTAGAGGAACTTCTTGGATGGAGGTTAAGGTTTTGTTTTTTAAAGAAAGAAGACGTTGAATTGTTTTAGTCACAAAGAAAAAAAACAGCTTTTAAAATTTCTGAAACAAAGACACTTAGATTCAGTAATGATCAAACCAGTATAGTACTTTTGCAATATATGATAGTTACGTACATTTTTCACTGTATTACCTTTTCAGACCTTTACCCCTATACCAACATTATGATGTGGAAGAATTTTTTAAAACCTTCTCCAAGACAATCTGCCAGCTTTAGACAAAAGTATTAGACAGAAACCTAGAGATCTGGAATTCTGGTGCTGCCACAAATTGGATACGTATATGTTAAGCTTACAATATAAAGTGTCATCCAGTCTTGAAAACTCTGATTCTGCTCTGCTTGCTGTAAATTTCAAAAGCATGAAAGACAGTCGAGTTCAAACTTATTCTTTAAAAATTAAAATGTTGAGATCCAACAGCAGAATCAACCATAATTTATGTCCTTTAGACAGCTTTTTGGTAGGCCTCCAAACACTCAGAAGTTGAAGGTTTCTCAACTAAAACAAATAAGGACTAATAGCACAGCTTACATTTTATTATGCTTTACCTCCTAGATCTTTGAAGTTTAATGTTTCTCAAATGTAGTTTCTTTCACACAAAAAGGCGGTGATAACCGACTTAAAATTTGATCCCGAGAATAATTATCTTATATGTTTAATTTTAAATTTAATCTTTTAAATTTAAATCTTATACTTGAAAAAACTGGTAGTGACTATGCTTTAATCAAGTATGCCACTTTGATCTCAGCAATCTTTAAAGATTTTGTTATAACATGACACAAAAAAATGATAAATTTCTATATCTTTAACTCATTCTTCTGGAAATGGCAAGGCAATTCAGTAGTAATTCAATCAAATACAACAAGTTATATTTATTCACTTATTTGGGAATTCAAGGTTCATGCAGACTCTCTAAAGAAAGTTTCTAAAATGATATATAAAATTTGTGTTTGTATTTGTGTGTATATTTTCTGAGGGAAAGGGTCACCAAATTCTCAAAACAGGTATTTCTTACTCTCACATGCTACCTTATTGTATTTAAACACTTTAATCTGCATTATTTCATTTGCTTCTTCCTTTTATCCTAGGCTATATGACAAACAGATGACTTTGTTGAGTCTCCCCACTTCTACTCGCAAACTCCCTTAGAAAACTGTGTTGGAATATGTCATTGTCTTGGAAATTCAACAACATACTTACAACCCACTATACAGTGGTTAAGAACATGGGCTTTCTAAAAGATAGCTATATTCAATTCTCAGCCTATCACTTGTTACCTATGAGACAAGGTAACAATTGCCAAATAGAATATTTGCCAAACAATTGCCAAAAACAATTGATCAAGGTGAGCCAAGATCATGCCATTGCATTCCAGCCTGGGCAACAACAATGAAACTCCATCTCAAATTTAAAAAAAAAGAGAGAGATAATACATGTAAAATATCTTTATCAATGACTGAAACTCAGTAAAATCTCAATTTCAACTGTTGTAGTGTCTATCTTTCCAGATCATTCTCTCAAGTCCAGTGACTATCCAAACAAAATGTATACTTCTTCACAATCTCTCATCTCCTTCAGATCCTTTGCCCTCACTGATCAACTTAAATTTCACCACGACTCCTTCACATACACCCTCAACTCTTCTGTCCTCTGTCACTTTATTCTATTTGGCAAAATTAAAACCCAGTTAAATCCAACTCCCTCCCTATTCTACACCAGCACCTTAGCAGCTACACAAGGTTAAAGGAAAACTCACAGCCATATTTAGTGGTTCCAGTTTAAATTCATGTCCACATATCTTACACAGCTCTTCTGTGTTACTCAGGAAATCAAATTTAGGCCTCTCCCAAACTATTCAAACCTCTACCTCCTCAAACTGCTTTCCACATTCGCTCAGCTGATGACCTTACTTCTTATTTCAGATTATTTGTGAAGTCATACAATAATGACCCACCAACATCTGTGTAAACAGCTTTCTTTTCTGCTAACAATTGGTTCTTTTCTGTTAACAATTGGTCTGTTGTATTCTGGTCAAACCTCTAATGATGCATTAGATTATATTTCATCTCAATCAATTACTAAAGGGCATCATACTAGCAATTTCAGTTTTTTTCTTCCTACTCCATTATTCCCAACAGCATATAAAAATGCTGCATTTCGCCAAGTATTAAAAGTGATAAAACTTTAAACTACACTTGCCATTATTTCTTTGCCCCTCTCAAAAAGAGGTGTCTACGTTCACTACTGCCAATTCCTCTTGTCATGTTCTCTCCTGAACCCTTTCAAATGTTTTCATTGCTGCAATTCCTCCAAAACCACCCTTAAAAAGTCAACAACGACTTCATATTGCTCAATCAACCAGTAGAATCTCAGCCTACTTGACCAGTTAGAAGCAGTAGACAGCTGACAACTCCCAACTTAAAGTACCTCATTCTCATGGCTTTCACTGTATCACTCTCCTGGTATTCTCAGTGGCCTTTCTACTCTTTTTTTTTTTTTTTTTTTTTGAGACAGCTTCGCTCTTGTTGCCCAGGCTGGAATGCAATGGCACAATCTCGGCTCACAACCTCCGCCTCCCCGGTTCAAGATTCTCCTGCCTCAGCCTCCTGAGTAGCTGGGATTGCAGGTATGCACCACCATGCCTGGCTAATTTTGTATTTTTAGTAGAGACAGGGTTTCTCCATGTTGGTCAGGTTGGTCTCGAACTCCCAACCTCAGGTCATATGCCCGCCTCGGCCTTCCAAAGTGCTGGGATTACAGGCATGAGCCATGACACTAAACTGACCTTTCTACTTTTTATTCTACCTTCTAAGTGCTGGAGTACCCAAGGACCCAGGTCTTGAATGTTTTTTCTTTCTACACTTACTCCTTGATGACTTCATCTAATCTCATTGCTTTTGAAGTACCACTTAGGTGCTAGAAATTCCCAAATGTACTTTTATTACCTTGATCATTTCCTTATATTCCCATTAGTTTTTTTTTTCCAACACCCTAATTACTACCTAAACTTAGATTTTTAATAGAGATTAGCAAAATTAACATGACAAAAATCTTAACTATTGAGCCCACACTTCATTCCTCCTTCTGTCTGTACCATTTCAGGTAAATCATCCTCTTGGTTGAGCTGTCCCTTATATCTTTTTGTCTTATATTCCACACCCAATCTATAAGCTAATCCTATTGGCTATCTCTTCAAAACACAGCCAGAGTCCAGCCACCTAGTATCTTCACTACTAACACATGAACCAAGCCAACACTGGATGTCATCTGGCTTACTGTAGTAACTATTTCAGAACAGCCAGAGCGGTATTTTAAAAACTTAAGTCATTGTACTCAATGGTTAATCAAAAAACCAAAAAAAAAAAAACAACCTCATAATATAGATCTTGTCATTCACATGCTCAAAACCCTCCAATGCCTTATTCCGCTCACAGTAAAAGGCAAAATTCTTATATTTACCTATAAGGTCCTTATATTATCTGACCCACCCTTATTTCTCCCTCCTCAGCTCTATCTAATCACTCCATAATACACTAACTTCATAGCTAGTCCTTCAACATGCTCCTATTTCAAGGCTTTTATAACAGCTGTTACCTGGCTAGATCATCCTTCCCCATTCCTCAAGATACATGTATCTATTATCTCATTCAATTTTGTGGGCTCAAATTTCCATCTTCTTATTGAAGCTTACTCTGACCACTTCACTGAAAACAACAACTCCCTCCAACTCTTCCCCATCATCCTAATTCTTTTTCTTCTTTTTCTCTTTCCACTTTTCCTCTTCTATTATGCCATAAAAAATTACTTATTTAATATGTTCATTACGTCTTCCCAACACATGAATGTGAGTTACACAAAGGCAAGGATTTTTGTCCATTTTACTCACAGCTATATTCTAGCACCTAAAACAGTGTCTGACACATTAAACACTTCGGACATTACAGCTTTTTAGCTAACACATAAAACTAACCTCTTAGTGAACTGTTATCTGTCTGGAATAATTTGTTGTTTTCCTTTTCTTCACAGAGGTAGGTATGCTGCAGTAGTTTTTTGCCAACTCTGTTAGGAGTGAAGGTTTCACTATTTCCACTTTTCTGTGGTTCCAACAAACTATTGTTTGTTGATGGCTGTTCTTGCTTGTCACGCAGTACTTTTTCTTTCATTCTTTGAAATATTTTTCCTGGTGATTCATAGTTTGCTTTATTTTTTAATCCATCCTTGTTGGGCTTTATAACACTGATATCAAGAGAACTGTTGGAGATGGCAGCCTCTGCCATCATGGTTGATTGAAATATATTTTTATTGTTAAAAGTTGTCATTTCTAGGAACTGATTCTTTTTATGGTCATTCAACTTTAAAGAGGAGTTCTGATATTTCACCAAATCTTTTACAGGAGTAAGTGTGCCTGAAGGTATGCTGTCAAAAAAGATTGCATCCATGGGTATATTTTTCCTTTGAGATGATGTCTCTGAAGGTAAGTAAATTCTTGGATGTTTCAAAGGTGTTGCAATCATCTTGACAGGACAGTAGCAAGCAAGTTCTTCTAACAGAAAATTCACTTAAGCACAATTTTCAGATAGAACTTCAGCAGGGACCCACAGAAACCTGTAGTTCAATGTAAAATCAGCCTTTATCATGCTTAGGTGTAGAAAAGGTTTAAAGTTTATATGCTTTCCACAACACTACACTAATTAAAATGTTTAACTGGTTCAAACAATGCTAGATAATCTATAGCTCACAAATCAGACTAAAATTTTATTTTTGTTAAAGTCTACTTAAAAAAAGAGCTGGGTGTGATGGTGCACACACCTGCAGTCCTAGCTACTTGGGAAGCTGGGCAGAGAGGATCAATTGTGCCAGGGAAGTCAAGGCTGCAGTGAGCCATGATTGTGCCACTGTACTCCAGCCTGGGTGACAAAGACCCTGTCTCAAAAATAAATAAATAAATAAATGATACATGCACATGGCAATACATTAGTTTACAAAAGATTAAGTTTTACAAATACAATTTTTCCCTTTAGGCACTTAAATTCTAAGGCAGCAACTACGATGATCTATTCTAATAAAAGCTAAAACAAACAAACAAACAAACAAAAACTACTCAATTATTTAATAATACCCAATCCTGATTTTTTATGCTCCAGAGTATTTACATTTTAAAGTCTTAGTTGAAAAATCCTCAAATAAATGGTAGATTATTTTCATTCTGATTTTTTTAATGCTATTTAAAATTTTTAGCAGAAACATTGTACTTAAGTTTACACAGTTTTAGCCTTTCTTTAAATTATTTCTTATGTATAAGTTTTATTAGTCACACCTAGAAATTAAGGTTCTAGGCAAGGAACCATACAGTCACCTTAACTAATATTTGGTAAATAAGTATTTCAGTCCAAAGATCCTGGAACTTACTAGTCTAGATTTACAGCATCTCTTACTGCTGAATTTATAACTATTCCAATTAGTTAACATCATATAAACATAAAAAACCTATGACAGAAAATTCTAACATAGCCAGATCAAAAGATATCAAGTATCTTTATCTACAGCAACATCTGTAAGAAATAAGCTATTAATATAAAAAGTATTATCTAATCCAATAATTTATGATAATAGAGAACAAAAGGAAAATATTCCTATAACAGCCAACAAAGAAGATGGTATCTTGGAAATCTGGAGCTCCAAAAACCACTATAATTCTTCCACATAATATGAATCCTACAAATATGTATTAATGCATGCATGTATATGTTTACTACGTGCTAGTTCCAGGATGTTATATTAGCCATTCACTTCATTTCTGTTTTGTTTTTGAAACAGTGTCTCTTTCACCCAGGCTGGAGTGCAGTGATGTGATGAGGGATCCTTGCAACCTCAAAATCCGGGGCTCAATCAAGTCTCTTACCTCAGCCTCCAGAGTAGCTGGGACCACAGGCGCACATCACCACACCTGGCTAATTTTTGTAGTAGTGTGTGCCACTGCACCTGAGCTATGTTTTTTTTTTTTTTTTTTTTTTTTTTGAGACAGAGTTTCGCTCTTGTTACCCAGGCTGGAGCGCAATGGCGCGATCTCGGCTCACCGCAACCTCCGCCTCCTGGGTTCAGGCAATTCTCCTGCCTCAGCCTCCTGAGTAGTTGGGATTACAGGCACGTGCCACCATGCCCAGCTAATTTTTTTTGTATTTTTAGTAGAGACGGGGTTTCACCATGTTGACCAGGATGGTCTCGATCTCTCAACCTCGTGATCCACCCGCCTCGGCCTCCTAAAGTGCTGGGATTACAAGCTTGAGCCACCGCGCCCGGCCGAGCTATGTTTTTTATTTTTGTTTTTTGAGAGGGAGTCTCACTCTGTCACCCAGGATAGAGTAAAGTGGTGCAATCTCGGCATGGCGCAATCTCTACGTAGCACAATCTCGGCTCACTGCAACCTCCACCTCATGAGTTCAAGCAATTCTGTCTCAGCCTCCTGAGTAGCTGGGATCACAGGCACACATCACCACACCCAGCTAATTTTCGTATTTTTAGTTAGAGAGGGGGTTTCACCATATTGGTCAGGGGGGGTCTCTAACTCCTGACCTCAGGTAATCCACTTGCCTCAAACTCCCAAATTGCTGGGATTATAGGCGGGATTACAGCCTGTTGCCCAGGCTGGTCTTGAACTCCTGGCTCAAGTGATTCTCCTGACTTGGCCTCCCACAAGTACTGGAAGTACAGGAATGAACCACCATGTCTGGCTTAGCTGTTCGTTTCAAAGAAAGACAAGCTGTATAATCGCTCAAAATCACAAATGAATAAACTCGGCTGGGTGTGGTGGCCCACACCTGTAATCCCATCAGTTTGGGAGGCCAAGACAGGAGGATCACTTGAGGTTAGGAGTTCAAGACCAGGCTGACCAACATGGCAAAACTCTATCTCTACTAAAAATACAAAAATTAGCCAGGTGTGGTGGCACATGCTTGTTAGTCCCAGCTACTCAGAAGGCTGAGTCAGGAGAATCACTTGAATTTGGGAGACGGAAGTTGCAGTGAGCTGAGATCATGCCACTGCACTTCAGCCTGGGCAACAAAGTGAGACTCAAAAAAAAAAAAAAAAAAAGAAGAAGAAGAAACTGGAAAACTGCAAAGCAAAATGGCAAAGAAAATTCAGGTTTACACAATCCCAATTCCTCAGAGCCTAATGAAATTCTAAACAGAAAGTTAAAAACTGCAAATAAACTAAGAGCACTGAAAACAGACCCAATCTGTAATTGACATGCAGAACTGTCTCCATTTAAAGGCAGATAATTGTGGTTACATAGAAAGGCTCCAAGAACCAGCACAGAGATTTCTGTTTCCTAACATCTTTGCCCCCAGTTCAGGCAAGTAATAGGATAAAGGTTGGGTAGCCAAGATTCTGAAAAGCCTTCAAATTCTACTTCCCCTCCCAAAGACACAGAAAGTTGCTCTAAGAGACCTTTTTCCCACCGTGTGATAAATAGCAACTCAACGTAAGTTTAAAAAAAAAAAAAGCAGCCAATATTTGCCAGGGGTTTGTTAAAGACAGAATGCAGAGAACAAAAATTGTCTACAATTTCCACTGACCACAGAGGTTTTGCAGAGTAAATAAATTTTTTTTTTTTTTTTTTTTTTTTTTGAGACGGAGTTTCGCTCTTGTTACCCAGGCTGGAGTGCAATGGCGCGATCTCGGCTCACCGCAACCTCTGCCTCCTGGGTTCAGGCAATTCTCCTGCCTCAGCCTCCTGAGTAGCTGGGATTACAGGCACGCGCCACCATGCCCAGCTAATTTTTTGTATTTTTAGTAGAGACGGGGTTTCACTATGTTGACCGGGATGGTCTCGATCTCTTAACCTCGTGATCCACCCGCCTCGGCCTCCCAAAGTGCTGGGATTACAGGCTTGAGCCACCGCGCCTGGCCAGAGTAAATAAATTTAAACAAACACTGGGTCTAGATAAACCAAGACAGATCTGAAGCTCCATTTCCTTCCTAGTTAAAAGAATAAAAAAAATCAGCCTCTGATGAAACACAGACATTAGTGGAGACTAAATAACTGGCATCCCTCAAGTGGAGGAAAGAATAGTTTGTCCTGAAGACAACCAAGCACATTTGTTGACCTAAGAGGAGGTCACTCATTGTTAGTTCCCTCTGAGACTGGAGAAAGTATGTTTCTCTTTTCATCAACTGCTTAAAATTATTTGGGAAATCTAATCCTTAAAACTTATTCTAAAAGCTGACATGCTGATGTACTAGGGGGAAAAAAAATATATGTTTTCAACATAAAGACACAGGAATGCGAAAACCATGTAGGAAAGGGCTGGCCATAGCATTTACAGTACAGTCAGGCACTGCAATAATGATGTCAGACCACACATACGGAGGTCCCGTAAGATTATACCTTATTTTTACTGAACCTTTTCTATATTTTGATATGTTTAGATACGCAAATACTTATCACCGTGTTACAACTGCCAACGATATTCAGTAAAGTAACACGCTGTACAGGTTTGACTCCTAGGAGCAATGGATAATAACATAAAAACTGGGTTTTTATAAGTACACTCTATGATACTAGCACAACAACAAAAATCACCTGTGAATGTATTTCTCAGGACATATCCCAGGCAGTTATAAGAGACACATATAAACACAGAACTGAAGCTAAACAATTCTTATGTATATGATCCTGAATATATATCCTCCTCCCAAAAGATGGAACGTTCTTGTAAGAATTTACTCTAGTGGTAACAATAGTAATAGCTATTACTATGGAAGGGGTCAAAAATCCCAGAGCACACTAACCAAAACTGGGGGATAGAATTCGGCGTAAAAACAGAATTTTAAGTTAAGAGGTAAATGATACACTTGAAATAAGTACTCAGCACCTATGACAAAGGGCTAATTTACATAACATTCAAAGAGACTTAATGAATCAATTTTACAAAAATGTTCAAAACAGATAATGGTCACAGGACATGAAAGACAATTAATAGAAGAAATAGAAAAGGTCAATAAACAAGTCAAGTGACACCTGATTTTACTAATAAATGGAGATGCAAACAGTGAGACTTCTTTCACATATCGTATTGGTAAAGATTAATTTCAAAATGCAACCACTGACACGGAAATTCCACTTCTAACTTGTTTTTTTTCCTACAGAAACACCTACATAAGAATGCAAATATATATGCAACATAATAGCCGATATTCACTGAATATTTACATGCCAGTCACTATATAATCTAACAGCAACTCTAAAGAGTTAAGTACTATTATTCCCAGTTTGAAATATTTGATATTGAAATATCATTATAAATGATATTGAAATATCATTCTACCTCCAAAGTCTAAGTTCTTTACCAACAGGCAACATAGTGTACACAACCACTACACAGGGAAGTGCATGCTGCAGTATCTGCAGCATAAAATGAACTTAAACAACGCAGATGTCCACGAATAAAGGACAAAATAAATTCTGCCACATTCATACAATTCACTCTATGTATTCAACAAAAAAGTATATATGCACTTACATGGAAAAAAAATTCAAGAAATATTAAACTGAAAAAAAGTAGAACAGAACTTACAATTGCATTTCTGTAAAAATAAATAAATAAATAAATAAAACACATATAAGCACAGAGAAAAAAATCTGGAAGCAAGTGAACCAAATTGTAAACAGTGTTATCTCTGAAGAGAAGGATGAAGTGGCCTATAATTTTCTTTAACTCCTGACCTTAAATGATCCACCTGCCTCGGCCTCCCGAAGTGTTGGGACTACAGGCGTGAGCCACCGCGCCCGACCATTTTCTAAACAATTTTATTAACATCTAAAGCTGTTTGCAACAAGTATGCAATTTAATTAGAAGAAAACATAAGCTGAATGAACTGCTTCTGTAGCTCTGAGGGGGCGCCAAGGGGAAGAGTTGGGTACTAAAGCACACAATTTTCCCACTTAGTATTTCTTCCTTTTTTTTTTTCTTAAAGCAACTTTAGAACAAAGACCTAGAACGCTCACCATCGAAATAAATGTGAGCAATTGTGTTCTACTCCGCAGTAGACAGGCAACAAATAAACATCGAGTGCGCAGCTGTAAAAAAAAAGTCTACAAAAATTAATAATAAAACGGCGTGGGCCGAGATGCTGAGGGCAGGCCGCCCACCACCGGCGGGGACTCGCGGCGGGAGGCGAGCGAAGCGCGCGCGGGGAGGACGCACCTTGGGTGAAGGGCCCGGCAGGGCGGGACTGTGGCAGTCCAGGCTTGGCTCCGCGAGGAGGGAGGGCCGGACGCCGCGGGGCTCGCGCCTCAGGCCCACGGTGGCCCCTGCCCGCGGCGGCCGGGTCCCAAGCGACGCTTACCTCCTCGGCGAGGTTCTCGGAACACCCGCAACACTTCCGCAATTCAAATTCGAAGAGCCCGCCCTCCAGTCAGCCTGGGATTGGTAGGCTCGGAATTGCGCCGCCATGCGGCTCACTGGGGCGCCAGCAAATTTCTGGCCGCCTCCGCACTCGTGGGCTGTAGTGTGTCCACAAAAAGTAGGCGACCATCAGCTGTCACAGACAGGGGGCGAGCTCCTCTAGTTGTCCTCAAAATTCGTTTCGTCTTCTCAGGGCACGCGCCCAGCTTGAATGTCCCCATTCCTCCGGTGATGCTCCGTCGCGGCGAGGCTGACGTCGGAGACGCCGCAGGCCGCGAGCGCGCTACTGCGGTGAAGTTTGGCCCTTTCTAGCTCCCGTCCTCCCTACCGGCTGTGCGCAGTGGCGGCTGCTCGCCCGCCCTTCAGTCCCCGGAAATCTGCGTGCTTCGTGGGTTTGAGAGAACTTCTGTTTTTCTCAGTCCTCCATGTTTGAGGCGGAGAAAAAACATTTTGTTTTTGAGGGAATGATGGATTGAATGTAAAGTTACGCACGAAGTGGGATGTTTAGTTTGAACCGTGTCCACAAGAAGTGTGATTTTTGGGGGTGGGGGTGGGGGACAGGGTCTGTGTCGCCCAGGCCTGAGCGCATTGGCGCAATAATGGCTCACTGCAGCCTGGAACTCCAAGGGATCTTCCCACCTCAGCCTCCCAGTGGCTGTAACTACAGGTGCGCGCGACGAGGCTTTGTTAATTTAAAAACTTTTCTGTAGAGAGCAGGTCTCACCATGTTGCCCAGGCTAGTTTCGAACTCTTGGGTTCAAGCGATCTTCCCATCTCCGCCTCCCAAAGTGCTGGGATTACACAGACAAGCAAATGCACCGGGCCAGGAAGTGGTTAAAAAATTTTTTTAAATCACCTCCCATTCTGGAAACGTTAATCCTGACAACTCTAGGTTGCAGTACGCAGTTTCTAACAGTGGCCTCCAGGCTGCGTCCCTCAGACTGCGCCCAATGAATCTCCACTCTTAACCACCGCAGAGTAATGGGTGTATCTCCTGCCTTGTATAGGACTCATTGGTTCAGTCTTGAAAGTAGAGAAGGGGAAGCCAGGGTAGTAAGGCGTGTTTTCAGCCCTGAGTCCTGTACAATTCCAATCCTGCATGAAATGTGCGCTCTTCCCCCACTTCATCCGCATTTGTGACAAGAGTTTCTTTTTATTTTATCGTTCATCTAAGAAAATTAGTCAGCTTCCTGGTCATATATCACATTTTCCTGTTAAGACTTATCGAGTCCTATACTGAAAAGGTTGTAATGGAGTAATTTTTTAGTGACTTTTGCAATCCCTCCTAAGTTCTGTATCTACACCGAATAATCAGAATCCAAAATATAAGTTTAAAACATTCACATGAATGCAAGTAATGAAAAACAACAGTTGGAGGTAGGGGAAAGGAAGCAAATTTACCTGAATAAAATGAAGTTTCTTGCTTGTACATCATAATGAGAAAATGGTTGGACATGGATTTCCAGTAGGTTTATAGGAAAAGCCCTCCTTAAAACAGGTTACATGGCCTGTATGAAATATACTTTGATAGAGGAAGTTTGAAGGGATATGCCTATCAAATTTCGATTTCGAAGCTTCTGAAATTGAAATTTCTGTGCCTGATGAAGATGGCCGTGGCTCACACATTTAGACAAAATAGGAACCCTGAAATATTAATGGCAGGCACTTAGAAATGCACATTTTTTAAAATTAGCCGCTTCTCATGTGAGAAGGAAGTAGCATATAGTATGCTCCAACATGAATGGCCACAGGAATTTACATAAGATGGCTAATAATTTTCCAAGCAAAACTGAATTAAACAGTTTGTGGATAGCAAAGTGTGATGAGAAAGCCTAGTGGCCAAGGGACAGTGTTCATTTGTCCATTAATGTCAACATGCTGTAACTGCCCATGGGGTTCACCTTGCCTGTTGCCTACACAGAGCCGATTCATCAAGAGAGGGTAATTGCAATAGAGAAAGTAATTCATGCAGAGCTGGCTGTGTGGGACACCAGTGTTTCATTATTACTAAAATCAGTCTCCCCTGAGCATTCTGGGATCAGAGTTTTCAAGGATAACTTAGTGGATGGTGGGAAGCCAGTGAACTAGAGTGCTGATTGGTCAGGGATGAAATCACAGGGAGTGGAAGCTGTGTTCTTCCGCTGAGTCAGTTCCTGGGTTGGGGGTGGGAGGTCCCAAGATTAAATGAGCCAGCTTATAGATCTAGGTGGTGCCAGCTGATCCCCTAAGTCGTGTGTCTGCAAAATATCTCAAGCACTGATCTTAGGGGCAGATTAGGGAAGGTCAGACTCTTGTAACCTCCAGCTGCAAACTATAATTTCTAATATTGTGGCTAATGTTAGTTCTACAAAGGCAATCTAGTCTCCAGGCAAGAAGGAGGTCTCCTTTGGGAAAGGGCTTTTACCGTCTTTGTTTAAACTATAAACTGCAAACTTAAGTTTCTCCCGCAGTTACTTCAGCGTGGAGGTTAGAAGCAAGATGGAGTCAGTTAAGTTAGATCTCTTTCACTGTCTCACTCATAATTTTGCAAAGGTGGTTTCAATGTTGCCCTGGGTTGGTCTTCCTCTAAGTTTCTGTCTGCTTGGAGGGGAAACCGTAATGAGAAGATGATTGGACGTGAATTTGCAGTTCACAGTCAGCCACTTGGGATAATCTGTCCCATCCTAGGCCTACAACACATGGAAACACGTGCAGACCCATGGCCTTAGTACAAAAGCTTTAACAGATCTTAAAGGCTTTGCAGCCAGAGGCTGTCAGTTAACTTGTAAGTCCTTTCTCCTTTGCTGCTTTTCCCAACAAATTGCACTCGTGACAGCTCAGTGACCTTTTTTTTTAAAACAAAGATCAGAGTTACCCGTTTCCATGCCTGTCACAGAAGCATAATTAAAAGAGTGTAGCAGTAAGATTCTGTTTTCAGGCACTTTCCATTTTTTTGTTGCAATCCACAGTAAGAGATATTGTACATTGTAACCTAATAATTATACAAAACTACACTTAACTAAAACAAAAGCTTTAGAAGCATTACTTAACATTACTCTGTGCAGTGCATGCTATTATTTTCTGTTTCCTCTTTAATAAAGAACTGCCTATGGTATGCAATTGTAATACAATGTGAATATTTTCATGTTTCTGCATGGTCAGGGATTTTAATTTTTAAAAAATCCTAAGGTAAAATTCACTTAAAGTAACCATTTTAAAGTGTACAATTCAGTGACATTTAGTGCATTCACAAATTTCTGCAACCGTCACCTGTAAAACATTTTTTATCATCTGAAAAGGAAATCCCGTAACTCTTAAGCACTCTCTTTTCTCACCTTCCCACAGTACTAGACAACCACCAATCTTCTTTCTGTCTCTATGAATTTACCTATTTGGATATTTCATATGAATTGAATCATACAGTTTTGCAATATGGACCTTTAATGTCTAGCTTCTTTTACAGTTTTTTTTTTCCCTGAGGTTTATATACCTCAGAAATTATACATTGTAAATCAGTACCTTATTCCTTTTTATGGCTGAACAATATTCCATATTGTGTATATGATTGTGTGTGTACCACATTTTATTTACCTGTTCCTCTACTCACATTTGGGTGGTTTCCACCTAAATCTATAATAACCTCGTTTGAAATGATACCAACTTAGTTTCCATAGCATACAAAAACTCTGCTCCTAAACAGCTGAGTCCTCTCCTTTATGTTTCTATTATTACCAATTACATCAATATACATTCTGTGTCCATTAACATAGATTTGTAATTATTTTATGCACTTGTCTTTTAACTCATATAAAAAAGAGGAACTACACATAAAAAACATATCAGTCCTGGCTTTTGTATTTAAAGATGTAGTTATATCTATCTAACTTCTTGATTTCTTCTTATAGCTTTGAGTTGCTGTTTAGTTTTCTTTCATTTAAGTCTGAAGAACTTCTTTTAGTATTTCTTCTGGTATAGGTCTACCTGTGATAGACGTCTTTAGCTTTTATTTACATGCTAATGTATTAATTTCTCCATTGTTTTGAAGGACAGTTTGCTGAATATAGAATTCTTGGTAGTCTTTTTCTTTCAGCATTTTGAATATGTTATCCCACTGCCTTCTTGCCTACATAGTTTCTGATGAGAAATCAGATGCTCTCATGATTGAGAATCACTTGTATGTGACAAATTGTTTCTCTCACTGCTTTTAAGATTCTTTTTTTTTGTCTTTGTCTTTTGACAGTTTGATTATAATGTGTCTCAATGTGGAACTGTTTATCTTTATTGAAGTTTGTTGAGATTCTTGGGTTCTTCCCAAATCTAGAAAGTTTTTGGTTATTTATTCAACATTTTTTCCCACTGTTTTATTTTTCCTCTCCTTCTGGGACTCTTGTAATATGTATGGTGGTACTCTTGATTATTCCCATAGATTTTTAAAGACTCCAATAATTACTCTTTTTTAATTTTATTTTTATTTAAGACAGAGTTTGGCTTTGTCACTTCAGGCTGACAGGCACAATTATGGCTGGCTCACTGCATACCTGAACTCCTGGGCTTAAGAGGTCTTTCCACCTCAGCCTTCCAAGTAGCTCAAACTACAGACTTGCACCACTTTTTGTAAAGACAGAGTCTTGCTATGTTGCCCAGGCTGGTCTTGAACTACTGGGTTCAAGCAATCCTCTTGCCTCACCCTCCCACAGTGCTGAGATAACAAATGTGAGCCACAGCACCCAGCTATTCTCCTTTCTTTATGCTTCTCAGTCTGGATAATTTTGGTTTTTATTGACAGTTTTATTGACACTCATTCTTTTTTCTGCCTGCTCAAATCTGCTATTGCAACCCTCTGAAATTTTATTTCAGTTATTGTACTTTTCAGCTTCACAATTTCTACTTGGTTTCTTTTGATAATTTCTGTCTTTATTGATATTTTCTATTGTTAAGACATCATTCTCCTGGTTTCCTTTAACTCTTTGTGGTTTCCTTTAGCTATTTGAGCATATTTAAGACAGGTGATTTTTAATTATTGTCTAGTAAGTTCAGTGTTTGTTCTTCTGTAGA